TTTTTAACGAAATTCAAGGTCGCATAGTTCTGATCAGCTTAACAGAAGTATTTTGTGAATACCTAGAGTTCTTGATACATAAAAAACATTTTTTAAGAATAATAAAGTTTAAAAAAAATAGTAGAAATCTTTGAAAATTTTTTTGAGAGTACCGAGTAGTTCTGAGTTGCGTTTCTTATAGTACTTGACGAGTTCTATCGAAAACTATAAGGTGGAAAAGCGATTGGACCAACGGTTTGCAAGATACAGGGACATTTATCAGAAGATCAACAATTTTTTAAGTGAGTATATCTCGGAAACCGTTAGTCCAATCGCTTTGAGTCCTGATACTTTTCGACAGAACTCGTCGAGAACTGTTTAGAACTCTGAACAGAACTACTCGGTACTCCAAAAAAATTTTTTGACCAAACATTTATTTCTAATTCCCACGTCGGAAAATTTTTTGGGAGTACCGAGTAGTTCTGTTCAGAATTCTGGACAGATCTCGGTGAGTTCTGTCGAAAAGTATGAGGGCTCAAAGCGATTGGACCAATGGTTTCCGAGATATACTCTAAAAATTGTTGATCTTCTGACAAAATGTCGCTGTATCTTGCAAACCGTTGGTCCAATCGCTTTTCCACCTTACAGTTTTCGATAGAACTCGTCGAGTACTATAAGAAACGCAACTCAGAACTACTCGGTACTCTCAAAAAAATTTTCAAAGATTTCCACTATTTTTTTTAAACTTTATTATATTTCAAAAATGTTTTTTATGTATCAAGGACTCTAGGTATTCACAAAATAGTTCTGTTAAGCTAATCAGATCTATGCGACCTTGAATTTCGTTAAAAAGTTAGCACCCCATTTTAAAAAAATTATTAAAAAATGATTATTAAGCGCATATGTCATTAAAAATCATAGAGAACTCTTCGTATCGTCAAAAAGAAGCAGAAATTATCATCAGAACTATTGTATCTAAAAATTAATTTTTCAAAAATTTTTTATTTTTTTTTTAATGTTCGAAAATTTTTTTTACATATCAGGAACTCTAGGCAATCGCAAATTGAAGCTATTAAGCCGCTCAGAACTATTCCACCTCGAAATTCGATAAAAAGTTAGCACCCCATTTTTAAAAAATGTAAAAAGATGTTTATTGAGCGGAACTCTTGTTATTAACTGTAGGGAACTCTTCGTCTCGTCAAAAGGAAGTGGGAACTCTAATCAGAACTTCTGAGTACTATAGTTGGGGTGCTAACTTAACATACCCCTGTCCTTCAGCGATGCGTATGAAACTGCTCCACGAGAACCTGTATCTCCATCAATTTTCCGAATATCTCTTTGAAGTTTGGCATATGTATTCTCGATCAAAACAATCACTTCTACGAAATTGATTAACTTAGAACAGGAATCGTTGTTGTTCCACAGGCCTTGTGCGCCTAATGATGAGAATATTATAGCACCGAATTCTCCTATTTTAATAATGACTCACGTATAGGAACATTAACTGTCTTAAATATAATCTTAAGATGTCATAAACCAATCAAAAGGTCATATTAGCATTTTAAGACATTAATTTACTTAAGATGATCTGTAAATTGTAATAAGAACCGACTATGCATGAATACCAGTCATACATATTATATATCTTTGTCAACATCTTTTATAACTTTTATAATTTTATAAATTTTGTTGAGAGAAGAAAAGAAATTTTGTTTACAACAACAAAACATATATTTCATAGATACAATAGAATGCTTACATCAGTTGCACCAGCACCTTAATGCGCGTCTATTTTATGGAAACTAGGTGCAGAGAAAAATCTGAGAGTGGACATCCTGACCTTTTTCGTATACCAAAATCTCATAGAGTAATGCCCACGTTTTTATGGCTCTCTTCCATATTATTATGTGGATTAGACAAAAATGAATAATTAACTTTGATAATTTATCCATTATCAGGTTTCTCTCTGGTACTATTATATATAATATATATATCAATTAAAAGTCTTAATATGTATTTTATATCGAAGTAATATTAGTTTTAATACTTTTTAGCTGTTCTTACCCTTTGTTTTTGTACGTATAATTTTGTATCATCTTAATAACGTCTTAATAACGTCTCTAACGTCAATAAGACATCATAAAAACATATATTATTGATTATATAATATCACTTTGTTCTACTTTAGATGTTATATTGTCACAATATTAATGGATATAATACAACAATAATACTGTAATATTTCAATATTGTTTATCAACGTGTAATATATCAGTAATGTTCCTGTGATATTGCACTGTAATATATAATATTACTGGTATATTGCAATATTACTGCAATATTACTGTGATATTACGTGTTATACGGGATATAATTAAAGTCTTTATATGTACGAGTATATATAAAGTCTCTATAAAAAAATGTTCAAGCATAATGAGCAATATTGCAAAATTTTTTGACATTTTACCAATTATCTTGAGTGCGCGCTATAATATATAATTATTTAAAAACTTAATGAAAATATTTTCAGATCTTTATCTAGTTAAATTTTTAGATATTTGAAAATAATACAAAAGAAAAAGGGTTACGAGCCAAAAATTCGTTATAATGTAAAATTGTTAGTAAATAAAAATTGTCATTTAGTTAAAATTACATAGTTTAATTAGACAACAGATTTTCGACCTCTATTAGGTCATTATCAATGTTATTACAGAAATAATAATCGCAAGTTGTTAAAACAAAACGGTAATGTATGGATTTATAAAATTGAAAATATAAAAATTAATATGTATAAAATAATAATAAGTGTATGCTCTCACTCGCATAATTGACAATATGTTAATTTCGGTGCAAGCTAGAGTCCATAAACCTTAGTGAATCGTCTAGTTAGTGTGTTATTAGTTCCTTATAATATTGCATCAAAGTACAATTTATAAAATGGTCCATTATTAGACAATGCGATGAGAGCCAAATTTTAGTTGTTACTCTTAAAAGTTTAAAAATGATATTTTAGATTTTTGTAGCAAAACTGTACTTTCCGTGTAATAATAAACGTAAGATAGATTAACGTTTTTATTTTTGAAAACTCTGTGTTAGGTCGTGTTCAGCAGTTGCGGAACGCTCGCTGCTATTGATATTTTTTTTTAGATAATCTAATAGTAGCGAACGCAGTTGAGTCTGCTGAAAACGACCATTGTATTCCAAATATAAAATAATACCATCGATGTTGCAAAACATGATTATTCTATCAATCAATTTCCAGCTTCTTAAAGCTTCCTTCAACGCCAAATAAATCCGTTGCTGTCTTTGCTTTGCCCGGTCGTAGCGATTCATTGACGCGGTGATTAGCTTCATCGTCTTCAAACCAGGCAACGTGATCTATCAATTTTTTTATTTGTTTATCATGTAGCTCCTGTACAGGACCGGCTTGACCGCCTGATTCATTTGGAAGAACTTCAAGAGGTACAAACTTCTCCAAAGTATCATTCGTAGTATGCATATGAAACTAGAATTATAGGGTTATAGAATCATAATTCAATAATTTTTACACTTTTCGCGCCGAATTACGTTCTACTTTTTGTAATTTTTTCAAGAAGATGACTAATTGAAATGTATATTACTTGTATACATATGTATATATGTATATACGAAAATGAAATATATACAATACTTAGTTTAGAAACGGAAATAAGAAAATTTAAGAGTAAAACATAATAATTAATAATGTACTTAAAGTTATATCGTAAAAAGATTACGGTATTTCTGAAACAATTAATCAAATAGGAATTTGATTTTTCATTTTTTCGTTTTCTTATTATTTTATAATAACGTATTATTTCCAGTATCCGAAAAGGGATTGAAATAGATTGAAAATTTTTAATCTATTTTAATTCATTTGAATAAAAATTCTTGATTTATTCATATGAATAGAAAGGAATTAAATATAGTAAAATTGAATAATTTTCTATTCATATGGATAGAAAATCTTTATGCATTGTTGAAGTAGAAATGTATAATTTTGTACCTGTGTCATAAATGAAAATTGATTCATGATTCGCGAAATTTGTTCTTAAAAAGAATAAGATCACCTATTATAAGGCCATCCCTTGATTTAAGGTTCTTGAATCTGTTTTGGACTGAAAGCATAGCAATTACGTCATTTTAATACAACGTCAGGTATTAAAACGGATTACGTGGTTTATTTTTTTAGCGAAACTTTTTTTTTATTAAAAGGTATAGGAATCTCGTAATTTCAATTCCAAGTCATGGATTAAAATAGATTAAAAAAATTGAATGGATTGAAATGGATTCAAAAAAGAAAGAATTGGATTTGGCAATAACCAAATAAATCTATTTCAATCTATTTCAATCTTTTTCCGGATACTGGGTTGAACAATTGACCTGCAATTGATATGTGATAATGATTTTAATCTTACCATATCTAAGAGCTGCTTTTTCATGAAAGGTTTCATCATATTCAAAATAAGATCTATTACCGGAGAAGCATTCATGAAATGAAAGCTTCTTAATCTAACAGGTAATCCGTCTTGTAGATAATAAAGGAATTTCTTCATGGCCATGGGGCTTAAACGACCGACATGACCAAGAGAAACGGGTTTCATGTCGACTAATAATATATGACCATCGCAAGTGCCTTCCGTACAGAGCCATAAATCAATCACCATATTCAGAAATTTTATAGTATCGTTGTATACGAAATGTGATGGTTCGTCATCTAAGAGTGTTCCATAAATGATTTTATAACCTTCTCTAGTAGTTCCATCCAAAATTATATTTGTTCTATCGATAATAAGATTATTTATATAAATTATAAAACAAAGCAATGTTAGAAGGACACATAAGAGTCAGTTAAGTATTTCAAATATGTAAGATAGTCAAAAAATAAAATAAAATATATTAATAGAAAAGCGCAATATATACAGAAAAATTATTTATATATATACTGTATGTATGTATATATATAATATAAACTTATATTATATTATTTATATATATCTATTTTATAAATAGATAATATATGAATTTTAGATTATATATAAATTTATATATATCTATATGTAGCTTCCGATAAATAGAATATAGGAATATTTCTCTCGTAAATTTTGCGTGTATATATTATATGTGTGTATATTAATATACACATATATAATATATACATGCAAAATTTACGAGAGAAATATTCCTGTATTCTATTTATTGGATATAATATAGGTACTCGTAAGTCCCGGGTATGTTAAGTTAGCACCCCAACTATAGTACTCAGGAATTCTGATTAGAGTTCCCACTTCCTTTTGACGAGACGAAGAGTTCCCTATAGTTAATAACAACAGCTCCGCTCAATGAACATTTTTTTTACATTTTTTAAAAATGGGGTGCTAACTTTTTATCGAATTTCGAGGTGGAATAGTTCTGAGCGGCTTAATAGCTTCAATTTGCGATTGCCTAGAGTTTCTGATATGTAAGTAATGTTTTTTATGTATCAAGAACTCTAGGTATTCACAAAATACTTCTGTTAAGCTGATCAGAACAAGTTCTGATGATAATTCCTGCTTCTTTTTTACGATACGAAGAGTTCTCTATGATTTTTAAAGACATATGCGCTTAATAATCATTTTTTAATAATTTTTTAAAAATGGGGTGCTAACTTTTTAACGAAATTCAAGGTCGCATAAACTATGCGACCTTGAATTTCGTTAAAAAGTTAGCACCCCATTTTTAAAAAATTATTAAAAAGTGATTATTAAGCGCATATGTCATTAAAAATCATAGAGAACTCTTCGTATCGTCAAAAAGAAGCAGGAATTATCATCAGAACTATTGTATCTAAAAATTAATTCTTCAAAAATTTTTAATTTTTTTTTATCATTCGAAAATTTTTTTTACATATCAGGAACTTTAGGCAATCGCAAATTGAAGTTATTAAGCCGCTCAGAACTATTCCACCTCGAAATTTGATAAAAAGTTAGCACCCCATTTTTAAAAAATGTAAAAAAAATGTTTATTGAGCGGAACTCTTGTTATTAACTATAGGGAACTCTTCGTCTAGTCAATAGGAAGTGGGAACTCTAATCAGAACTCCTGAGTACTATAGTTGGGGTGCTAACTTAACATACTCCGTAATTTGTCAATTATGCCACGAAAATAATTTAATAATTGAAAAAGAAAAGGAAAGATCATAAATATATACTTACACCGTTTCAGTTGCTTTTTTGAACTCCTTGTTATTAATAGGATCTCGATTGCAGAAAAATTCAGGTACGTGGGTCCTAACTGTAAAATAGGTGTCGATAGTAGTTTTCGTCGGTTCGAGTCGATAATAATTACTATGCAAGAATAATGCTATTTCGCTGTCTGATATTTTAGGCAGATGAGGCTGCTTTTCGCACCATTCTCTCAACATTTGTACATCTGATTCTTTTAACTCGGAATTCTTCTTCAATTCTTCCTCAAACGGTACTAGCTTTATTGAAGCCATTATGTACTTTGAATATAAACTCCTAGAGAAATGGAAAGACCTCAACATCAATAATGTTAACAAAATCAACTACATTAAATTATAGCAAAGCTAAATGTATCTCATTAAATGTATTAATGAATTTATTTGAGTGTTTCTTAGGTAAATATATTTAATAAGTTTATTTTACATAAAATGTAATCGTCAATCAATAATTGTACAATACTAAAGTATAATAATGAATAATTTATATTGATTATATATTGTAAATATGCATTTATCATATTACAGTACAGACTACATAGATACATTATTTGTTATTGGCATACTAGTATTATTAATATGATTAATGAAATGCATTTCAATGAATTCCACTTACCTTGAATATGTGTAGTTATCTGTATGTGGAAAGATTCCGTTTGGCAACTTAATCCGATATCTGAAAAATACTGAATGAGATTTGCTGTAATATATAATAGACTTTTTAAACTGCAAAGTAGCAATATAAGCGAGTATTGCATGACATCTGAGTATATTTTTAACGAATGCAACGTATTATTTTTGTCATAAACGGAACACGTACACTGAAATTCCATTTTATAGACATTTTACATAGTTTTCCAAATCATTGAAAATAAAACATGTAATTTTTGAGCTAAAATGTCTGATATATGGATTTATTACGTACATTTTTCTAAAATATGAAAATAAAAACATATATTTAAGTTAATAAAAAAATTAATATGCTTTTATAAAATAAAAACAAAATATGAATAAACCTGCTGTTATAATATGTTGTAAATAATTTGTTATACCAATATAACAGCATCAATAATATTTATTTGCTGCATATATTTATATAGTATATATATGCATATAGTCAACCGTATCAATTGTATTTATAGAAATTATCAACATCTATACTCGTCAATGTTCAAAAATAAATTATAATAATAATATAAAACGTTGTGGAATATTGGCTTTATAATATATTATATTATAAAATATATTATACAAATCTACATATTATATATATATATGCATATATATTTAATGATTATTAATACTCTATTATTATAGACGTGACTATTCGCATTTTTAAAAGAATTTGTGTAACAAAAGAAAAATTACATTTTAATTTAACAGAATGACTATAAGAAATACACATAGTGTTACGTGAAAATATATGGCGTATCGAAGATTACATTACACAGCAAAATACTATTAAAGCGAATCTAAAAGAATATTGACAGTTCGTAAAATATAATATTTAAAGATTAGTTGACTGATAGTCGTAACTGTCCTCAGCAAAACCCCTATTAAACTGGATCCCCCACCAGCGAAAATCTAGTGCTTTTTAGTTGCTAATTAGCTGCCCAAGAATTAATTTAGTTGCTCCAGCCGTTTAGAAGCATTTTTTTAAAAAAAGGGGTGGGTCCAGGTTAATATTAAGCTGGATCCCCCATAATAAAAAAAATAGATACAGTACTGCTACAATGAAATAAACCACACCAGATTTAGTTGCTATTTAGTTGCTCCAAGATAGTATCGAAAATTAATATTTTTAACGCAAAAATCAATATTTGCGAGCGCGTCACAGGAACCTAAACGGACCGCGCTGCAAGTTTCACTACACCAAATGAAAATTATTCGGTCATATAATATTGTTACTAAAAAAACACTTAATAAAAGTACTGCCAAATCATAATAAAACATGAATTAGTTGCTAATTGCAAAGTATGAAAAACATCGTGTTTATCAAGGACATTCCGCTCGGCGTTTCATGTACTTTCCTCTGTCTCCACATACGTGCCAGATTTAGTTGCTCGCATAATTATGGTATCTTCGTAATCGTGAGATCGTATACTATCGAAAAATGCCGACAATCGAATTAGTTGTTCATTGGAAAGGAAGAAAAACATCGTGTTTATCAAGGACATTCCGCGTGGCGTTTCATGTACTTTCTTCTGTCTCCACACACGTGCCAGATTTAGTTGCTCGCATAAATATGGTATCTACGTAATCGTGGAATCATGTACTATCGAAAAAAAACCGAAACTCGATTTAGTTGCTCGTTGCAACAAGTCTGAAACCGCCGAAACGTGAACGGCGGCTGCCCGCCTATCACGACGCTGCGTTCGCTTCGCGCCAGCTGATTTTTCGTTCCTGCATTGTGTCAAGAATTAGTTGCTCGCATAATTATGGTATCTTCGTAATCGTGAGATCGTATACTATCGAGAAATGCCGACAATCGAATTAGTTGCTCATTGGAAAGGAAGAAAAACATCGTGTTTATCAAGGACATTCCGCATGGCGTTTCATGTACTTTCTTCTGTCTCCACACACGTGCCAGATTTAGTTGCTCGCATAAATATGGTATCTACGTAATCGTGGAATCATGTATTATCGAAAAAAACCGAAACTCGATTTAGTTGCTCGTTGCCCGGAGAGGATGATTCTGCAACCTTACATTTCCGTAAATCGTTGCTATGCCGAATTGCAAGGTTGCTTTGCGGTAATAGTCTTGCATTTCTATCAGCTAGTTGCTATGCTGAAATGCGAGACGTGGTAGCATTCTTGGGTTACAACAGAGTCGAACGTTCTGAATTTTATTATTTTAACGGAATAAAAAAGTAATTTGAACAAATTCACTTCTTATTACTGTGCATACTAACAACAACGCTGCACTCTCATTCGGGCCTTAATTGGATTTCATAGTTTATAAATTAAATTAATACAATAATGGTAAATTTCGTGTTTCTGATTCATATGTTAAATACAGTAAAAATTGTACATTTGCTTCATATTTTATTTAAATATAACACTATGTACTCCGCAAGAAATAACTTCCAATTAGACGTCGAATCATCAGTTGTGTTCAGCAAAAAGAACTAATCATGTAGCGTTTAATGATTCTTTAATATGATTGATTACTACACTTAAATCCAGCAAAGAACTAAAGACAAGAACCAATCATATATTAAAGAATTATTATACACTAATATTGATAAGTACATTGATTAGTTTTCTGTGAATGCCGCCATTGTATCGATATCAATTCAATATCAATTCGTTTTCTAATGTAACGTAATAACATTTAGAACTCAATCCCATACTAATCTTTATTGAAGTAATAAAATAAAATAACGATAACATAATTTTATCCGTATAATCAATAATAAAATATTTATTGCCAATATCTTTAGAATTAAACTATTATATTATTTTAATTACTACAGAAATGATAATCAAATAAATGTGAAATTATAAGTCTAATATAATTAAATCTGTAACTTGTATGCTATTGTGATATGCATATATCTATTATATGCTTAATCTACAATAATCTAATCAATAAGTTGTTACTACTATATTATATTTATCATATTCAGGACTGGCGTTTATAATATGGAATCATAGAAAATTCTATGTTTAAATTTAGCTTGGTAAGGAAATTTACATCTAAGAAATCAAAGAATTAGATTAAAAATCGAATATATGACAACTTAATAAACAACTTGCCCATGGGCGTCGACTATCGTATGATTGATGTGGAGTACTCCATACTCGAAATTTTTCTCGTGTTTAAAATTCCATACTTGAAAATTCGAAGAATATAAATATTATTTTTCTTGATGAAATAATTTATTATTTAACATTCTATTAAAAATAAAAGTTGATTAAACTAAGTATGAAAAGTCGTATGTTTACAACTTGATGAGGTTGTCACTTTCACGACCCGATCGGTATTTTACTAGTGCCCAGAAAAGAGATTAAAAAAATGTAAAAGATGTCGTAAACTCTTTAAAAGAATATATAGCTGTGAGAGAAATTGTGTTAGAATACACAAAAATGATAGGACTCCGGCTTACAAATCCTGCAACATCCTGTACTACGAAAAGATCTTTTTCAGATCTTAAGAGATTTAAAACTATTGTTAAATAGTACGGCTGTGCTGCATATTTATTCGGATGTTGTGCAAAATGTGGATGTAGAAGTTGTAATGAATTTATAAGCAGGAAAAGTAAAAGTGTTGCAACTGTATAAGTTATAAAAACAAACATAACAGAATTGTGAAGGCGTAAATAGGTGTATATATATGTAATAAAGAAGTATATATTATAAATAACTGTATGTGTTTTGAAGAAATATATTGCAAATATATTTGGAAAAAGAAAGGGACAACAACTCTTTTAACATAAAAATAATAATTCCTTACAGCTGTTTGTGTACACATTTTGTGAGGACCTTTTTATTGGTTGTCAGTTTGCCTACGCCAACTTTTACTTTTACACATGGTGAAACCTCAAGTCGACGCACCTGAACTTGTCTTATTTGACAATATGATAATTATTCAGAATAGGGGAGGTAGCATCGATGACCTTGACCTTGAGTAACCTCTAATAGGTTTTAGCCGTCGCCCCGCGCGCAGATCAAATGTCGCTCGAGCGGCATTTGGACCGCGCGCGGTGAGGTGAGGGGGACAGCGGAAAGCGGAGGCGATTCGAAAATCGGCCGAAAGTTACATACAATTTATGTATGTTCACTTTGTACTGGTACCTATAATTAATAATATATCAGTTACTTTTCATGATAATATATTATTATTAGATAAAAAGATTAAAATTTTTGAGTGTCCTCTTTTGAACATGGCTTGAACTTTTCATTTTTATATGATTTTTTTCGAATATTGTATAGAAATAAGGCGTTATTTTTGAAATTTTTTTTGTTCATAACTTTTTAACGAAGGACAAGCGATGGCTAAAATCTGTTGGAGGTTACTCAAGGTTATGACCTTGACAACATATGTGCAGCATTAGAGGATGCCTCCTCTATTTTAAATAATTACCAAAAAGGTTATTACTTAGTAGTCTCTGATCACCTATTTCGCGCTGTCCCCCTTTGACCAAAATTTCTACTCTCACAGACAAGCTAAATCGCCAGACCTGAATATATTTGATGTTAACCGGTTATGAATTAGATTTGCTTATTTTTATTTTCGGAAACAGTGTTGTTATAATATTCTAAAAATAAAACTAAATATATCGCGATGTGTTGAAGAAGATCTGATTATTAATTCAATCAGTCAATTTCGAGCTTCTTAAAGCTTCCTTCAACGCCAAATAAATCCGTTGCTGTCTTTGCTTTGCCCGGTCGTAGCGATTCATTGACGCGGTGATTAGCTTCATCCTCTTGGAACCAAGCAATGTGATCTTCTAATTTTTTTATTTGTTTATTATGTAGCTCCTGTACAGGACCAGCTTGACCGCCTGCTTCATTCGGAAGAACTTCCAGCGGTACAAATCTCGCCAGAGTTTCACTTGTAGTATGCATATGAAACTACAATTTGTAGAAACATAGTTTAATGTATATATATATATATATAATTTTAATTCTTTCTACATTAAATTACGTTCCATTTCAAGCATTTTTTTTCCAAGAAGTTAAATAAACATGCTTATTTCTATCAATGTAGCTTAACCTTAATTTTGATTTACTTTATTATTTATCTTTTTCTAGTTCCAATATTTATAAACGAATAAACAATTAATATGTGTCCAATAGAAATTTCATTTTTTTATTTTTTCATTTTTAATTCATAATATTGAAACAATTGAATATAATCTTAATATCTTACCATATCCAAGAGCTGCTTCTTCATAAAAGGTTTCATCATGTTCAAAATGGCATCTACTACCGGTGAAGCATTCATGAAATGCATGCCTCTTAATCTGACAGGTAATCCTTCTTGCAAATAATAGAGAAATTTTTTTAAACCCATAGGGCTCAAACGACCGACATGTCCAAACGAAATGTTTTTCATATCAATTAATAATATATGGCCATCGCAAGTTCCTTCCGTATAGAGCCATAGATCGAGCACCATATTAAATAATTTCATTACATCATTGTAAACAAAATGTGACGGTTCGTTATTTAGGAGTCTTCCATAAAGGATTTTATAACCTTCTCTAGTAGTCCCTTCCAAAATTTGGTCTGTTCTGTCGATAATAAGGTCAAATCTACTTTATACATGACATTTCTTTAAAAAAGAGAAATATTGCTGCATCCCTTGTCATCTATAAGGGATGTAACAAAAATAACAAATTAAGTAAAGATAAAGAAAAATATTGTAAACATACTTACACCGTTTCAGCTGCTTTTTTGAACTCTTTGTTATTAATAGGATCTCGATTAGAGAAAAACTCAGGTACATGAGTCCTAACTGTAAAATAGGTGTCGATAGTAGTTTTCGTCGGTTCGAGTCGGTAATAATTACTATGCAAAAATAATGCTAATTCGCTGTCTGATATTTTAGGCAGATGAGGTTGTTTTTCGCACCATTCTCTCAACATTTGTATATCTGACTCTTTTAACTCGGGATTCTTCTTCAATTCTTCCTCAAACGATACTTTTATTGAAGCCATTGTTCACTTCAAATTTAAACTCCTATGAAGATAAAAAGACCTTAAAACACACACACACACACACACACACACATTAATATTATCTTAACAAAATCCATTAATTACATTATCATACCATCATCGTACCAAAGCTGAAAGTATCACGTTAAACGTAACAAAAAATTATTTAAATGCTTATTATTAATATTCGGTTGGCAAATAAGTTTATTTGATTTAGATAGCTTAAACTTATATATAAAATATTTTTGTTAAAAATAAAATAAATTTAAATTGAAAAATAGAATTTTAAAGCTTGAAATCTCTATTTTCAGAAGATTTCTATAATTTTTGAGTTTATATGAATTATCATAATTTTTATATATGTATAGGAAACTACAAAAAAACTTGGAAAAAAGAGAAATTATTCTTCTCATCTTGTGGGTCTATCACATACCAAAAGAATTTACGAAAATTTTTTACTAAAACTTTTCTTTATATTAAATGACATAATTACCACTTTTTTAAATAATAAAATAAATAAAATTATTTTATTTAAAAGATCAAACAATCTTATTTGTTAATCCAGCACTTTGCAAATTGTGTAGCTTGTTTTGTATGAAATACAATTGCCACAGATAATGAAAGATAGTTATAATATAAAGTAGAATAATTAATAAATTATATTAATATACTCGTATATTATAAGCGTGCTCTATCACACTGTAACATAGACTATATCTATTATTTATAATGTATTACAATGAATTCCATATACCTTGAATATACGTGGCTATCTGTGTAAAAAGATGTCGTTTGATAACTCAATTCGATGTCTTGAAGAATACTGATTGAGCATGCTCATATAATATACTTTTTAAGCTAACCGACAACGAAACGGCAATATAGTGTATTGCGTGACAACCGAGTACGTTTTAATGCACATAACGTCTCATTTTCGTGATGAATAGGAAATGTACGCTGAAATTATATTTTATACACACACTACACAGTTTTCGCAATCAGCAAAAATGAGCTAAACATGCAATCCAGCAACGAATGTTGGATATACGGTTTTATTACAAGCATTTCTCAATATTACGCGTAACAAAAATTATATACTACACATAGATACACATAAATAAATAAAAAAGAATCTAATGTACTTACTACTAATGTAAAATAAACAAATTGTAAGAAAGTTGTCTATTGTTATAATCTCAATTACTATAGCAATGTATATTAGAAGTAATATTTTTTGTTACATAAATATATAATCAGTTGTCAAATACTTACAAAAATTTTCCACATTTACCGAACATTAAAAAATATGGATTAAAACAATATAATACATATAAATATGGAATTTTTGAAATATTGATTTTACACAGATAAATATACTATACGAATCCACATTTAGTGATTATTTTATACTCTATTAGACGTGACTATACACATTTTTTAAAACATTTGTACAAAAGAAGAGTCACATTTTCACGAATCTGTTAGACTTGTTAAAGTGACTATAAGAAAATGAATGCCATGTGAAAATAGTATTTATTATTAGCGTGCAGAAAATTATATTACGCTAATAAGTAATAAGACATACTGAAAAGAGTTCAGATATAGTTATCAAATGTTGAGTGAAATAATTTTAATGAAATGTTTAGCTAATGAGGGAAAATTGGAGAATTAATTATGCGCACTTAAATGGAATTCACTACTGTCATGCCTGTGATGTGAATTTTGAAGTTAAAATCAATTATGTAAATACTCAAATAAGTACAAATTATAAACATTTTTCTATCAATATGAATTCTCAAATTAAACAATATTTTGTTTGATAATGTTGTATTTGGCAAAAAAACAGAGTAGTGTTAAATTAAAAAGCTAAAAGTTAAGTTAAAAAAAGTTAATTAATTTTAACTTAACTTAGTTACATTTTAGAATCTTAACTTTTTAACTTTATTCAGTTACATTTTATTGGTAACTATTAATTTTTTATTTAATTTTTTTGAAGTCTCAGACAATGCAAGGTGATATCAATCATGTTTAAAAACCTAGATGATGTTATCCTTATAATTTATTTAATTTTAATGACATGTATCATTTATATAAAAGATTTGATATTAATAGTCGACGCCAAGTTAAATTCTATTCTACCAAATAATTCTACACCAAATGAAAAAGTAATATCCAAGTGGTACTATTTTACTAAATTAAAAAATGAAATCTCAAGTATTATTATTTTTAAAAATGCAAGTGGAACTATCTTTACCAAATTAGAAAGTAAAATCAAGTGGTATTATTTCTACCAATGTAATTTAATTTTTATTTTGGTCAAGCTATAATTCTTCATCTTTTTCTAATTCAAAAAATTTTAATTCTTAGAAAAAGATATGAAGAGTTCATTGAAATCGAGATTAAAATTAATCTACATTGATAGAAATGAGCATAAGCGGAACACCTTATATTTTATGTAAAGTATTCCGTTTATGCTCGTTTTTATCAATGTAGATTAATTTTAAAATCTTATAATATTATAAGACAACACCGAAAAATTGTATTCTAGATTTCAGTATATCCGACTAAATTACAGAATGTTTTCTACTAAAATAAGCGCCAAGTATATATATTATAAAAATTAGAGGATTTTCCTCTAATATAACAAAAAAAAAAAAGATATTCTAATTATTTTAAATATTCTCTCCTTTATTGTGGAGTAGAATATATTTCAATCTTTACACAAACACGCACGCACGCACATGCATGTATGTATGTATGTATGTATATGAATCTATTTATATATAATTCTGTGTATTTTTAATTTTCTAAATTCTAAATGTTTTAGAATATTCGATTAGAGAACAGCTTTAAACAGAGGTATATTAAGTTTAATTTAAACGGAATTATTCTCAAATACAGAATACGATTTTTTCGGTGAAAGAGATATATAAGTTCTTTGAATAAAAGTTAAGTATAAGACTCAATTTCAAAAAGATAATTATGTAATTGGAAAGGACTAGTAAGAATCTGATAATTAGAAACACTTTCATAAATATTCAATGATCAGTTATCACCGATTTAGAAGAAGTGTTCCAACGTATATGATTACGATGTTCTGCAATACGTGTTTTTCAATTGTCTTCCTGTCTATCCTATGAATGTTGCGTCACAATCGTTGCAATTAATTTTGTAAACCACATTAGATTTACAATATGGAATTAATGGATCTTTGTGTATCTTGATGTATTTACGCAAATACATCGTAAAATAAATTATACATAAATACAATCAAGATACACAAAGATCCTTTAACTCCAAATTGTAAATCTAATGTGGTTTACAAAATTAATTGCAACGATTGTGACGCAATATACATAGGACAGACAAGAAGGCAATTGAAAACACGTATTGCAGAACATCGTAATCATATACGTTGGAACACTTCTTCTAAATTGGTGATAACTGATCATTTATGAAAGTGTTTCTAATTATCAGACTCTTACTAGTCCTTTCTAATTATATAAGTTATTTGAATTTTGTATATTGTATAGTTTACGTTTCTTTCGTAACATTTTAAAAACTAGTTGCTCTTGGTTGCCTTGGATCTTATTACATACTACAGCAAGATCCTCTAGACTATGGCGGGTATTCATAGTCGGTTCGTATTTCAAGAATGTCTTAAGTGATGTCTTAAGATGCTAAAGCGGCCCTCTGGTCGGTATTCATAGTCAGTTCTTATATTCAAGACCGTCTTAAGTTCAGTCTTGAAGAGTTACGAACCAATCAGAGGGCCGCTTTAGCATCTTAAGACATTACTTAAGACAGTCTTCAAATAAGAACTGACTATGAATACCGGCCTCTGATTGGTTCGGAACTCCTCAAGACTGAACTTAAGACGGTCTTGAATATAAGAACTGACTATGAATACCGGCCTAATCTAGACAAATAAATAATCGCTCGTGCTTCATTTTTATTTTTTGTTTTTTGCTCGCTTGAGTGATATTACGAATAGATACCTCTAACATACAAAACATCGCAAAATTTCAGTCACGTTCCTTTTAAAAAATTTCAATTTCTTTTAATAAAAAGAAGTATCAAAATCATGTATTATTTGCTAACATGTCTTTTAGTCTTCAACACTAAAGTCACTAAAATTGTTTAGTGTAATAGAATTGATATTACTATTCTGTTATAGTGACATAATTTCATCAATAATTCTTACGATATTCTGTAATACAGCATATATTATAATGATAGAAGAATTACTAATAATTACGATATTTTTTTATTATAAGCTGAAGCTATAGGTATCGGATAATTCGGAGACTCAGCAAACACTGCTCTAACCGATTTTCTATTGTACACGAGATTAATTTGTATTATATAAATGTCAATTTTAATAGATTGGCGTGCGAAAAATTATGCGTCATGATAAGCATAATTTCTATGAGCATTATATAATTGCAACACACATATATACGCACCAAGGTTTCAGTAGCGCTTCTTTGTAATACGAAGAACGCTTAATTAAAAAATCGACATGAAAAAATTAATTTGTTTATATATGTAATAAGTCATTAAAATCGCCCAACTAATTTACAAAGGAAGATCAATAAGAAATCTGAAATTTTATACATATCCTACAATATATGTATACATATAGGATCGTATTGAAAATGCGTTCTTATCGATAAAAGCACGCTTTATCTCTGAAATTTTATAGTATGCGTAACATATAAAACATATAGCACGTAGCGCGTTAATACCGTTATAAGCGCGTTTTGAATACGGGTCACAGAATAAAGAAACTTTCACTCTCACAAAACAATTTCTTATACGTTAAAAACTAAAAATTTATTTTTAAAAATTATCTACGACTAAGTTTAACCTTTTGATTAATTTCTTTCTACAGATTTACATGACGAATAATCTATACGTATAAATAAGGATATAGATTTTACGATATAATGTATATATTTGTAAAATTTCTTTTTTAATATAATGGAATAAGAATTGTTTATTAATTTACACCATTATTTTTACTATTCAATTTAACATTAAAAATAACATAAAAATACATTTTTTATTTTTTTGTAAAAAAAATTATTGGTAGTTGATTTTTGCGTTAATACCCACTCTTAATTAAAAATTAAAAGATAAAAGAACGAACAAGTATAATAAGGATATATACATGTAACAAATGATAATCTTTCATTTAAGTTAACAATTATTTGTGGAATTTATTAAAATAAGTTCTCGAACTTATTTGTACAAATTGTATTTTACAAGGTAATATGATTATTAAGATAATTTGATAATTGAATTATATTATACAAATCTTCTTTTGTATCGTATTAATATATTACATATTTTAATATGATATATATATAATTTCTAAACGAATAAAAGAACTACTAAATAAAAATATATGATGCTTTTGTACTATTTTGTATTTGTTGAAAGAAAAGAAGAGAGAGGAAAAAGAATAAAAAGGAGAAAGTGAGAGAGAGAGAGAGAGAGAGAGAGAGAAGGGAGAGAGAGCGAATGTATAGAAGATTATTAAAATTTTTCTGAAAAAATTTAAGTTTAAGTTGATTAATCTAGCTCCAACTTTTTAAAACTACCGTCTACGCCAAATAAGTTTTCTGTACTTTCACATTTGCCAACTCGCAAAGATTCGTTCACTCGTCTATAAACTTCATCATACTGAAACCAATCACGAAATTCCTCCAGTAATTTAATGTGTTTAGTAGCTAGTTCTTCAATAGGTCCTGCTTTTCCACCATACTCGTTTGGTAAAGCTTCAATAGGTAGAAATTTCTTCACAGTCTCCATACTCGAATGAAAATGCAACTAAAATAATAAATGTCTATTCACATCTCATATATATATATATATTTCATATATATTTTTAAAAAGAAAGACTTTAATATATGTATGACATATGTGTATGACATATGTCTTTTACAAGACTTACAAGATCCATTAGTTCTTTCTTCAAAAATGGCTTTATCAGATTCAGTAGCGTATCTACTATAGGTATAGTGTTCAGTATGTGAAAAGCCTTTAATCGAACTGGAGCAGCTTCTTGTACGTAAAATAAAACTTTTTTTAATCCCATTAAGTTAATACTAGCGATATGACTAAAAGACAGGCCGGTTGCATCCAAAATAATAACCAATCCCTCGTTGGTACCTTCCAACACAGTTTGTACTTCGCATGTCATAAGCAAATATTTCATACATTCGTAATAGTCGAATTTATTTGGATTCGAATCGAGAAATTTGTTAAATGTCATTACATATCCTTCCTTGGTTTTTCGCTCTAATGGCACGGCTGCCCTTATTGAAAGAATTTTTTTCCAATATTCTGATATAAACTTTAATGAGATACTTAGTTTTAATAAATTTAATTTTAATAATTTGGCAAATTAACTTACATGATAGAGAAAGCTTTTCGCAATTCTTTCCATGCAATTGGATCTCTATTAGAGAACACTTCCGGCAAAAGTGTCCTTATGGTATAGAAATTGTCTATCGTCTTCTTAGTCGGTTCTATGCGGTAATAGTTGCTGTGCAAAAATAAAATGAGATATAACATTTCGACTCGTGGCAGATGAGGTTGCTTTTCCATCCAATTCTTCAAAATTTGCAGATCTGACATTTTGAGTTGCGGATTCTGTTTGCACTGTTCTTCTATACTGACATATCGAATTGGTAGTGACATCGTTTCTCTGATCGGCCTATAAATTTGTCATCGTTTATAATTCTTTCTGAAAAATACTCGCTTCGAAAAAGAAATATATACAATCGTACAAAGAAGCGAAAGAAATATACACATATATGATCATAAAAAAACATCTACTTTGTAATTAATTAAAAAATATTACTAATAAATAATAAAACCGATTATATATAATCGATAACATTATTTTAAACTGTGTTTTAGTAGGTCCGATCAGTAGTTAATCAGTAGTACTTAATCATATCTTTACTTATTAGAAAAATGTCTACGAGTTAGCTGATAGAGCAATATGCTGATATATTAATGTATTATATAACCGCGGCGCTTGGCTTAGCGCTGAGACACTACCGTGTCTCCAGATGTGAGAATAATCTGTAAAAGCTATAAAATTGAATCTATCATAAAGTAATTATCGCAAGTATTATTTTTTAATAATTATAATAGATATACAAGAATAAACTCCTTGAAAATTTTAATTATTTTTTTCTATAATTATATAACGTTATATGACATCGTATATGTCACATCATGGTGAAAGGATACATATGGTACATCCTTTCACCATGTCACATATATAACAGATTAATGTAGATAATAAGAGCACATGCATGTGTTTGTGCGTGCGTGTATACGTATGTTATATACATATATATTAATTTGTGTATACATTTAAAAATAATAGATTCGTCGAAAACGTGGTAAAATGACAGAAATATATATTATTTAATTGACAAACGGCGTAACCTTTTATCAATTTATGAAGTTATCACTCGAACATGGGGGGTACTTGGAAAATTAAAAACCTTTTAGCATTTCATATATAGCTTAATTCCATATTTATACGCTTCTTCCTTCTTCCTCTAGACACATATTTGAATTCAAAAACACAATAATATGTATAAATAAAATTAATAATAGAATTATTAATTGTATGAGCAAAAACGTGATTATTTATTAAAATTACTTATTTTTTTACATATTATTTCAACGATATTATACCGAGAGTCGTTTTTTATTTATATAAATTCAAACAGTGCACTTTCCATAATTACCATAATACATTTAATTCACAATTTACGGAAGTTGAAATAATATATTTAGTTAGAAAAAATAAATTATATTAATTAACCTTGAACAGTTGTTGTTTAATCGATTATTCACTGGTGAATCTCTGTCCTACAAACACAGCACAGAATATAGCTACTACACACGCGATAAGTCAATTATATACTGATTTCTAAAAGAGAATGTCCGAGTGTTTCAAGTGTTCGACGCGCCGAGAACGATTACTTTCATATTGCGCTCCACGAAGACCAAAATATTCTACTCTGTAGTCAGAATCGCGCTATGAACATCATGATTCAAAATATTACAAGTTGAGTATTATTAGCTAAATAACAAAAAAGATATTGCAATACATAATCACTTGAACATTTATACTATTATTAATTGCATTTCTTGGAGATACCGCAATTATATTGTGTTATATAAACCTTAACACCTTAAGACATTTTCCATATCCAGCAAATATATATTTATCTGACTGATGTCCATTCAGACCGCATGTACCGATGGTACATTATATGTGACAACTACATTCAAAATATTACAGACAACCTAAAAGAAAGTTAAGCATGTAGGCCATTAGTAGTAGACACGAAATGTATTAATAGAAATAATACATTACATTTTATGATACATTTCATATTTTCTACGTTAATTTCTTTTAGTTTTCTGGTATACTGAATTAAATTGCAATCAAATCGCGTCTAATAATTGTGTTTATTATTAAGATTTGTAATGATAAAAAACACAATTAAAATAAACTTCTCAATTTTTCATAACACACACACACACACATCGCACTTGATAGATCGTGTATCGTAAAATTCTAGTGTCAATTAAAATGTCAAAGTTCAAGACTTCCAATAAAACAAGTTTCGTTATATATGTAATTAAAAAAAAATTATGGACGTAATAGAAATGACTTTGCAATTTTATAATTACTTCCAGATGTTAGTGATTTTTATTTACTTAATATTTGACATAATATTTAAAGATTTAAATTATACTTGGAATTAAGACACATATTATAAAATGTTAAATATTAGTTAATATAAAGATTAATACTAGAGATGCAGCAGATATCCAGACAATATCCGGTAATCGGTATTATTGGGTACTTTTTTACTATTCAGTCGGATAGATGGATATCATTATAATATATTCGGATTTCAATAAAATTTGATATCTGCAGACGCGGAAATGACTCGTGCTCTTTTTTACGTGAGTCAGCGAGTTACAAACAATAAAGATTATTAGCTCTCAATAACGGCTGAACCGAGTTGTTCTACATACTCTCAATCGATAGCCACCGCTCAGATTGTATTATAAAAGTGCTTTTATTTTTTTCTACATGCTCTGTGAACGGAGACATCGCGATGCAAAATCCAAAATGTATAAATTTAAAACAGATTTTCAGATACGTCACCTCAGATTTCGTTTTTACTTTCAGATGGCACATTGACACAAATCATACTTACTCTAATCTACGTAGAGTTCTATAATTGGAAGTTTATAGTTATATTCTTGTTATATTTTTTTTACTGCGTTAACTAAAGATGTTTTACTGCGTCAATTAATATTTGTATGTACATCTGAGGATGGCTCGAATATGCAGCCGAAACGTTATGGTTTTGACTTTTGATTGCGTGCGCATTTATAGTGTGAATTTTAGTTTATTTTTATTTTATTTTAATTTGTAATATATTAAATGGTTTATTAGATCACACATATAATATTGACTCTTAATTGCCTTTTTATTTCATTGACAATTTTTTGGAAGTTTATAGTTTTAGAGTTATATAATTGAAACTAATATTAACATATGTATTAATACATTAATACATGATTATCACTAGTACCTAACAATTCTTATAGACTCATAAAGTGCATTTATACCTAACTTAACGTACTGTGTATGTACAACGTAATTTTTGGCTATTCCACTTGTTTTGGCTATTGCAAATGATGGCAACCAATCAAAAACCATTACCTCGGTGGTATAACTCTTACTCTTTTCCAAACTTATTCTAAACCTACTTTTCAAACTATCAAAATAGTAATTATATATACATATATATATATATATATATATTTCAAATAATAATAACTATTCCAAACCTATTCCACAAACTTACTTTCCAAACTATCAAAATATTCATTTAAAAAAAAAATATGTGAAATCTTTAAATTGCGCCAATTATAAACAGAAAATACATTTTGTTGAAACATTAATGTTATATAACTACTTTTAATAATAAAATCCAGATGGTCCTACCTAAATGTGTGCACACAATATATTTTTTAAACCTAATTTTAATTTTTCATAGGAACAAATATATTTAGTTTTTAGAAAATTATTATCAATTGCCAATGAATGAACTATAATGAAATTTTGGGTAAAATTGCTTACATTATTAATTCTATTGTTATAAATAAATTTAATTTTTACTTACTTCTTACAATCATAGATATATAAAAATGATATATTTAGATAAATACTGTGTATAATCAAAACACACCTAAGCAATATTTTATATGTTTACGTCTTCGCTATAAAAATTAAACAAATTAATCTATATCTAATTTTTTAAAACTTCCTTCGACTCCAAACATGTCTATCGTCTTGCTTTTATTTATTCTTAATGCTTCATTTACACGACTCGTGACTTCGTCTTGTAGAAACCATTCACGATGATTCTCTAGTTTTTGTAATTGCTCTTCCTGTTGTTCACTCCATGGTCTAGTTTTCCCGTCTAAACCTACATCGCATGGAAATGCTTCCAATGGTATAAATTTTCCTAGAGAGTCTTTCGGACTAGTATGAATGTGTAACTGAAAACATGTCGAAAATATATTATGTAAGATATATCATTCATATGTATATTATGAAAAAAAATTTACTAAATTTTAATAAATATTTATATGAATAGTCCCCTAGCGGAATATTTAATAAATGTAAACATATTAGATATGAGAATTGATTTGATTGGGTATGTTAAGTTAGCACCCACCCCAACTATAGTACTCAGGAGTTCTGATTAGAGTTCCCACTTCCTTTTAACGAGACGAAGAGTTCCCTATAGTTAATAACAAGAGTTCCGCTCAATAAACATTTTTTTTACATTTTTTAAAAATGGAGTGCTAACTTTTTATCAAATTTCGAGGTGGAATAGTTCTGAGCGGCTTAATAGCTTCAATTTGCGATTGCATAGAGTTCTTGATATGTAAAAAAAATTTTCGAATATTAAAAAAAAATTAAGTATTCACAAAATAGTTCTGTTAAGCTAATCAGAACTATGCGACCTTGAATTTCGTTAAAAAGTTAGCACCCCATTTTTAAAAAATTATTAAAAAATGATTATTAAGCGCATATGTCATTAAAAATCATAGAGAACTCTTCGTATCGTCAAAAAGAAGCAGGAATTATCATCAGAACTATTGTATCTAAAAATTAATTTTTCAAAAATTTTTAATTTTTTTTTATCATTCGAAAATTTTTTTTACATATCAGGAACTCTAGGCAATCGCAAATTGAAGCTATTAAGCCGCTCAGAACTATTCCACCTCGAAATTCGATAAAAAGTTAGCACCCCATTTTTAAAAAATGTAAAAAAAATGTTCATTGAGCGAAACTCTTGTTATTAACTATAGGGAACTCTTCGTCTCGTCAAAAGGAAGTGGGAACTCTAATCAGAACTCCTGAGTACTATAATTGGGGTGCTAACTTAACATACCCGATTTGATTTAACTATCATTTCTTCCATTTATCTAAATATTTACCGTAAATATTCCGCTAGGACTATATTCAAAGAACTATTTATTAAAACTTAATAAATTTTTCGTCAGTGTACTAAAAATATTTTAAGTGTGAAATAATAACTCAATCTCTGCAATTCACCGGCTAGCGTAAAGTAACACGGCAGTGTCGCCGCCTTAGTACCGATACACTACCGTATCTCTAGATTGTATGTTGAATTTATTTTTCTTACGATTAAAAAAAGGATTATCGTTATTTATTTTATTATTTAATTTGCAATTTTAATTTTAATATGAAATTTTTTATAATTAAGTTTTAACTTAATATAATTTAAAACGACTAAGAGGAGAGCAATAAGATGTTTAAATAAGTAAATTCATTTTTAACAATTTAATAAAATTATATACACGTATGTATGTATGTATAAAACTGACACAAAAAAAAATTTTTTTTAATCGGTTTCTCAGCTCAAAAAAGTTTCCATTTTATACAAAAAAAAAAACACCTCTAAATTTTTATTTTTAGAAACATTAAGATTTAGAAGTCGTTAGTAAACGATTTTTAAATTATGTATGAAAATATTACATGTATTTTTATATTTAATATTTATATGATATTTAATTAATTTACACATAATATCTTTATATTTAATATAAAATATTTTTATTGTTTTTACCACATCCATTAACTCCTTCTTCATAAACGGTTTCATCATCGATAAAATGATATCCATTACTGCATTGGTGTTAATAAAGTGCAAACCTTTAAGTCTGACTGGCATAGCTTCTTGTAAATAATAAAGATATTTCTTAATCCCCATTGGACTAAGACGGCCAGCATGAGCAAAAGTAACACCCGTCATGTCTATAACAATTACATGGCCTTTGGCGGTCCCTTCGGTGTACAACCACAAGTCGACTACCATAGAAAAGTATTTCATGACATCATTATAAACAAAACGTGATGGTTCATAATCTATCAATCTCGTATAAACAATTTTATAGCCTTCCTTCGTTAACATTGATAATGTCATCTGCGCCCTTTTTAAAAGAAAACATTGTTTAACATATAATTAGATGATTAGACTACTTGGATGTTTTAGACAAATAAAAATAAAAAATTTACCTCAGTAAAGAGTACGTAAGAATTAAAATTTTTTTTCTTGAATAAAGGAAGAACAAATATAGTATCAAACAATTAATCTTTAATTACATAATACCGAACATAATTTCAAAAATTAATCCTTTGTTCAAGAAAAAAAATTTCTACTCTTACGTGCCCTTCACTAATGTAAACTTTTGTTTAATATCAAGAGTCCTTTATATTTTTATAACAAATACAAATAAAGATACGTTTAAATATAAGACTTTATATATACTTGATATATATGAAAATTATATCAGAACCCATTAAATTGTTAGCATTATTTATTGTTAAAATATAATGAATGTATGGATATATTTTAAATATTTAATATACTTACGTAACTTTAAATATCTCTCGCAATTGCTTCGTTCCAAGTGGATCTCTGTTAGAAAAAAATTCTGGCATGTGAGTCCTGGAAGTGTAATATTCTTCGATAGTATTCTTAGCAGCCTCGATACGATAGTAATTACTATGCAAGAATAATACATATTCAATATCTAAAATTTTTGGAAGATGCGATTGTTTCATGGACCAATCCTTTAAGATTTGTATATCGGTATCTTTCAATTCAGGATTTTTCTTCTTTTCCTCATCATAGGAAATCCTTTTAATCAGTGACATAGTAGAGATTTGTACAATCTTTTACTATAATATAAAAAACATATTTTTAACATTTATTAAAAGTGATTTATCTAAATTATCTAAAATATTGCTTGTTTTATATAAGAAAGTTATGTTTTTTTAACAAAAATGAAAAAATTGAAATTACTAATATCACATCGCTGTTTAATATTAAAATTGTAATAGTGTCTTTAATTAATAGTTAAGTTATGTGGTAAAAATTAAATTAGAAATTTATGACAAATAGATATTAAAATGATTGTGTTATAATAAGACAGAAAAATTACTTTTGAGATACACTCAAACGAGAAAGAAACTTGCGCGCTTGGCTGATTATCAACTAGAAATCTAGAATCAACTAGACAATCGGTTATTACTTACCGCCTTTTCAAGGTACTACTACATGCAACTATACGAACATTTCCACATTTATGACATATGAAGATACATACTACAGATATAATTAAACATGATTACTGTATACACTGCGTACTGTAACTATAAATTAAATTTTTGACAGCTTGACAGAGAAATTATAGGCTGATAACTCATTATTATTGACACAAATTTTTTTTAAATTTTATTATCCTGTATTCATCGTTATGTAATTTCACTATTGTTTTATAAATATATGTATAAAACAAGTTGTAAATATGCATGTATTTATGATTACTGCAATCACGATAATTATAAATGTACCTCATTATTTTTAATAATTACTGTAGAAACAATTATTTTATAATGAAACTGTAATCATTCTCTGATTTATCGAGATCTCGGCCTTCTGCTATTATGCGTATTGCTTCACCTTATTACATCGTGATACCAGCCGTTGATATAATTAAAATCTATCAAGAAACAGTTTTCTTTTTTATCGATTGCTCATATATCCATTTTTTTAGTGTATTCGATTTACTGACTAGATTCTACTCCGAGTCAATGGATGCATTCAGAAGCACGACCGCTCATTGAGCTCTTGTATGTACCTGTTTGGTTTATATTTTTAGATCTAATGAAATATGCCAATCAGATAAAAAAGCTCATTGAGCGCTTAGTGGTGAGCGGTCGTGCTTCTGAATGCATCTAATATCTCTTTTCTTTTTAACTGCATTTCTTGCACGATTTAGCTCTTCCTTTGCAGCTAAATAGAACAGACCGTTGATTCGGAGTCGGGTCAAGTCAGTAAATCGAATACGCTTTTTCTGCTTTACTGCTGTTTTAATGATTCTTTGTTTATATATTCGACACTTTTTTATGGATTTCGGAATGTAGTCTACTCACTGAAAGATTAATTGTTACTTATGAATCCATAAATATAAACTACAATCGCTCAGTGAGTCGGTTGCATTCCGAAATCTATTGAAAAAAAAGTGTTGCAACCTTTTGGTTCCTGACTGTACAAGCGATTGTTATCGTCGTTTGTACATTTAGTTCCTTAAATTGAACTGGCGCTGCGATCGGTAGGTTGACGAATTTGTTTCCAAGAGGAAATTTCAGTGTGCAATTCAGTATTTCAATATGATGACTTTATTTCGTTATTGATCTTAAGTTTAGTACAATTTGGTGTTCTTTCTATACGTACATTTGTGTAACAACGATCAAATATTCAACAGAAATTAATGTACTATGAACCGATTGGATGATCCGCCAGGGCTCATGAAAGGCAGAAAACCATCTTTTATTGGAATGAACGGTACACTATTCTAATTGTGTTTAGCAATTCTATTCTAACCTATCTTTTTAAAATTATACAGCTGTAGTTTTTAATATATTGCGACTTAAACAAATGTTTAAATATTATTTGAAGTACGTTAAATATTTTTATTTTAACATATTTTTAACTTGAGTTATATAATAACTCTCACCGATTATACATAATAACCAATTTTAAATATGTATCACTATTAATTGATAATTTTTTCATTTGATTTTATTTCGCTTGTATCTTATAGAAATTTATATTAACATAAAATTTTATATTTTAGGGGCTCCGGAGACAGATGATCAACAAAAAGTACGATTTCAGGTTGAGTTAGAATTTGTACAATGTCTTGCCAATCCAAATTATTTAAATTGTAAGTAAGAATAATTTTTGCATTCTTTAGTTTTAAAAGAATTCATTTTATTTCTGATAAACATATTTTTAGTTTTAGCACAGCGCGGCTACTTCAAAGATGCAACATTTATTAATTACCTCAAATATCTATTGTACTGGAAAGAACCAGAGTATGCAAAGTATTTAAAGTATCCTATGTGTTTGTATTTCTTGGATTTATTACAGTATGAGCACTTTAGAAGAGAAGTTGTGAATTCTCAGTGTACAAAATTTATTGATGATCAGCAGATTCTGCTATGGCAGCATTACACAAGACGTCGGACAAGACTTTTACAAACAGCTGCTGAACAAACACAGCATACTAATTCTCAAAACAATGGTATTGTTCAACCTAAAGTTCCCTAAAGTTATAATTTTATATTGATCCTTTATATTTATCCCTATATATTGCAGCTTCTACATTTGATGTTGTTTCCAACATAAGTAATGTTTTTACAGAAATTAATTCATAGATTGTTACTTGACTGTGATAATTCACAACTTCTCACATTTTTATATTGAATCATAATCTTTTCACATGTATAAATATGAGAATATATTATTTATTAAAGAAATCAAAAAAATTTTGCGTCAAGAGACAATTAATTTTTTTCTTAATCAGTCTTACTACATTACAATTGTTATATGTAGGTATATCTAAATGTACTTAATAATAGTATTACATCTTTATATATGTACCGTGAGAATACATTCTTTGTGGTCAGCATACTGAATCAGTTTAAAATTAATAAAAATTGATTTATTTATCTCTGATTTATCTGAATTTTCTCGGATAACTAATATTTGATAAATATGAGTGTGTTTGGATCTCTGGGTGCTCCCTGGATGCCATATTATCCTTGTTTAACGTTTAATAAACAAAGATGGAGTGATATCTAATTGGGTCTCTGATAGAAATCTGAACATAGCTCAAAAATTATGAGAATTTCGTATGAATATGATTGGCTTGACAATTGTTGTTTCCTAGAAGCCCTTAATGTTTATTAAATGTTTTTTAAATGAATAGTTTACGTGAGGATCTCGTAAGACTAAAGTGGATCAAAGGTGTCCATTAAATACAATAATTTTAGTACAAAGTTATTTAGTAAATTATTCGGTATTTTTATTTTCCGTAAAATTCACCAAAATTCCATTGCCAGCATCTACCCAATTCTCTGAAAAGAGTTTCTCTCTTAAAATTTGTCTCTCTGTTAAATTTTCTTCCTTCACATCATTTTCTATATTAATATCATCACTCTGGCAATTATTTTCGCCGATTATATTCTCCATATCCGTCACTTGATCAGGTAAAATTTTGTTCAGTGTCTCTGGTAAAATTAGAGCCAATACACCAGAGACGAGGCATAACATTCCAACTATCAGTAACGATATCGAAAGTGATACATGTTTCTAATAAAAAAAAAGTTATTTGCATTTCTAATGACTATATAATTATTGATTAGCTAATTTTTGGCAATTCTTGATTTGCCGGAGAATAGTACAAATTGAAAAATATCACACTTTAAAGAAACTCTCAATATAAAGAGAAAATTTTTTAAACAAGAAAAATGAATACGTACTAATAAAAGTAAATGCAATATACTTAGGCTGCCGATTTTTGCGGACATCACACATAAACCTAAGCATCGACCTCGTATCACTGTTGGAAATATTTCAACAGTATACAAGTAAACAATAAAAAGGGTACTCGTGACAGTTATTTTACCAAACAGCAACATTGTCGTCTTTACAATGTCTGAAATAAAAATAAAAATCATATATGTTCAATGCATAAAAACAAAAACATCTACAATGCTCTAAAGTTTAGTAAAATTTACTAAAACATTATGATTGTAAATGTGTTACAACAAAAAAAGTTTTATTTCTTTTATCTTATATTATGTACCGGTCCACGGTGCATTAGCGGTGATTAAAATAAAGAAAGCCGCAATTAAAATACAAACAATGCCATTAAGAAATTGATATGTGCATATTGGCAGTCGTCTACCGTATTTAGATAGTACAAAATATACAAATATATTCGTTGCCATTTCGAGAGCTACACTCAGGACGAACGTGATGTGCCTGTTAATTGGAAAAGTCGGTGCTAGATCATCAAGTATGTTGCACGCTATTGTAGACGTCCACCTTAAATGAAATCATAAAGAGAGTCTCATAATTTTTAAAATATTAAAAACTTTATAAATAAATTAATACTAAATAAACTCTCGATAAACAACAATAAAGATAGAATAAAGGGCAAATACGAGAGACGGTTATAATTACATATAATTAACAGAACTTATAACTGAAAAAATTACAATATAAAATTAGAAATTAGACTATAATTCAATAAATTAAATGTGTATACATAACATGTTCCGATTCCTAATTTGAGACTTCATCAGATGCATAGGCAAGAAAGTCCTCATCAAAAGTGCGTCACCAAAATCCGGACAAACCGAATTTCTTTAAACAAAATGTTTTTAATGAAAAATTAAATATTAAAAATCCTTTTATGTAGGGGCATAGTTATTCGATATATCCCCCATTAGCCTAAATGATAGCTTCTATTCTCGGTCTGAAGCGTTCGCACGCATATTGTAATGTAATCCATGCCAACGAATGCTGCCTCCAATAGCGGTCCTTAATGACGTCACATTAGAATGCCGAGAGACTTGTTAGTGACCCTTTCAACTACGCTCCATACGTAGTAGTCCAAAGGATTTAAATCTGGGCTATTGGGAGACCAGAATTACTGGAACCAAAACTTATCGACATTGTCTGAGAGCCAATTTTGAATCAAATGACTCATCTTTAATGTGTACGATTTGTTTCGAAGGTCCTCCTCGGCAATTCGACTCATTATTGGCTCGCTTACACCAATAATCGATGCTAATTTTCGCAACGATTTCCCTGAATCATCCGAAATCAGCGTAATTATATGGTATGTGATTATAACCGTCTCTCGTATTTGCCTTTTATTCTATCTTTATGTTGTAAAACTTTATATTAATTCATTCGAAGAATGAAAATAAACAGAAATGCAAAGTTTATTTTTTTTATATTTTACCATTGATAAATCATTATAGCACCATATTTTCTTATTATTGGCGATTCAATTGTATTTTTGAACGTTGAGTTTATCTTGTTCGCAATTTGATTTGCAACATTATCTTCCGTTTTCTCTTCATTTTTGCTCATTTTTCCTTTTTTTATTCTATGCGATATTACTTCCTCTGTGCCTTTCAGAGAAATCTTTTGATCGCATTTCAATTGTGTAATCATCTTTGACTCTCGATCGTATTTTGAATTGGAAGGCGAATACTGCTTATTAAAATTTTCCGCTGAACTTGACGTCTCTTGGCATAATTCTATGTTGGAAAATTTGTTTTTCAAGTTGATCGAATTGATTTCTGGAGTTCTTCCTAAAATAAATTTTTTAATATTCAAACATTCAATTATATATATACATATATATATAATTGAATTTACTTTGTCAATCATCGAGCGATTAAACATTAATTCTATATATTGAAGAAAAAGCTATGAACAATATCAGCATTTAACCTTTTTCCATATTGTTCAATAACAGTTCAAAGATCGATAAACTTTGTGTAAAAATTTATTGAGCCTTCAATTTGCTGCTGTGTTATTAAAACTTTAGAACATCTTTATTTATGCTACACAATATAGAGAAAGATCAAATACCGATATTGTTCATAGTTTTTTCCAGGGAATGGAAGAGTTAATTTTACAGTTATTTTTTATAACAATGTGGTAACTATGTTGCAATTTTTTATGTCTGTATAATGATAACTAACTGAACGCTTAAGAGGCTAAAATAATTTTAGCCTCTTAAAAAAAATTTCGTTATTGGTAATATAAAAAACCAAGAACATTTAAGGTTACACAAAGTTATCAAAGTATGTCCTTCTAATTATCTTACAATTTTTATAATAAATGTCTTCCCCTATCTCTAATCGTTTTCAAGAAAAATGAACTTTTTATCAGACTCATCCAGTACATATATATGATATATGTATACATACACGCACGCGTACATACGATATGTTTATTATTTGTACCTATAATTCTTTGTTCAGTTTGTTCTGACTTGTTTAACAAATTTATAGTTTCTTCTTCCTGATCTTCGTCAATTCTTGTTTCCTCAAATTTGACGCTGGTGACACGTGACTTTCTCTGCGATTTTATCGGCATCGAGCATGCTTCATGCATAAAAACGTTCTTTGTTCGTAATCCAATACAAAAGTTGTTATATATTGCGATTCTTTCGAGCGCCATATCAGCTTCAGTTGATTTTGCCTTAGCCAGTAGCCATCTCGGCGATTCCGGTATAATCCTGTTATATATGATATAATGTGAAAGAAAAGATGCTTTTACATACATATATTTATTTAATGTTACAAATCACAAATATAATAAGTACAATTTACAATTGTACAATGTACAATTTAACGAGGGTATTAGGAGTTAGCGCTGGAATGAATATTGCGCAATATAATAATATACAAATTTCAGTCAAAATATTAAAACAATGAAAGTTAATAAAACGTTTCTGCTTAAGTTTGAACTATTATATCTTCAGCAATACTTCATTTTACCGCTATAACGTTAAATTATGAGTCGCAAACCATAGTCCAGTATGCATTTTTAGTAGCAACATTGTGAGATATAAAATCTTCAATATTATGTCCAACAGTTACATGGCTGGTGGTAGTAAATTGCAAATCTCAAACGCTGTTGTCTAGAGAGAAAATTATAACGTGTTAGAACATGAATTAAATGTTTATATAAAGTTAGAAAATAATAGTTCAAACTTAAACAGAAAAACGTTCTATTAACTTTCATTGTTTTAATATTTTGACTGAAATATTATTATACTGCGCAATATTCGTTTCAGCGCTAACTTCTAATTGCCTCGTTAAATTGTGCATAGTCTTATTATATGATTTAAAGGAGTCTTAAAAAAAACTTGATTTTTTATTATTAACACATATATACATATAACATTTTAAAGATTTTAAAATATCTCGAAGATTTTTCTGTTTTTTTGTGTTAATTGTGGATTGTTTTCCTATTCCTTTTTTTTTTCCTTACCAAATATACAGCACGGTGATCGCGGTGGGAACAGAAACAGCCAATTGCAAAATTCGCCAATCAGGAATTACGTAACTAAGTACTGCAAGCAGTACGAGACCCATCGACCAGAAAATCTGCATAATCAATGCGACGAAAGTGCGATATCGCGCTGGAAATAGTTCTAGGGATAGAATATATGTAGAATTCTGCAAGCTCTGAACGAATACTCCTTGAAGACTACGTAACACCAGAAACGCAGGATAGCTCTAAAGTTGCAAATTTTACTCTCTTAAATTTAATTTTCTCATCTTTCAATGAAATTTTGTTATTTTTCCAAAAATATTATGTAACGATTGAAGTATCAACTTATGCTATTTTTGCTATCGTGATAAGAGGCTTTTACCTGCACAATATAGAGTGCGACCGCCATTGTGCCTTGCATATAAAGACATATCGCTTGAACCGGAAGTCTACCAATACGATCAATTAAAATTCCGGAGATCCATGCACCCAGAAGAACCCCTATGTAATAAACGATTAGTCCAAGAAAAGATAGATATCGTTTCTCGCATACTAAACCCCATTCGGTGACTACACTGTTCTCCATAAACTCCGTCTCGAAGTGATATTCGCCGAAACAGGACATAAATGCTGGCGCTTCTGGCGATGCAAAAGTTAAATTGGCAACAATCGATGAATTGTCCACAATTTGACAACCATAACTTTTATTCGTTGAATCTTTTATCTATGCAAAACAAATTTGTTTATAATATCAAATTATTGCATTCTAAAGAAGAAATAAGAAACTATTTCTTAAATTTTTATATATTTTTTTCTTAACAATTTATGTTTAGATATGAAACTGGTATAATAATTAAGAACAAAAAATAAGTTCTAAATAGATTTAAAATTTTTGCTACGTACTGTATTAAGAGTTTTATAAGTTCGTGAGGTTGAATGAAAATCTACCAAGAAATATTTAATTAGCAATTTTATGTGAACTGCAAATTGTACATTCACGCAAGAATATTATTAGGCACAAAAATCTGTTTTGATCGAATATAGCCAGTTTCTTCACTTATTTGTATTCAAATTAAAATTCATGTACATAAATTAATCCAAAACAAACCGGAATAAACCCATAAAAATTTATTTATCTAATAATCTGGTCTTTGTATCTTCTTCAAAGTAATTTCCCTCATTTTTTAGAGCGATTTAGAGGTATCACTTCTGCCATGCGGAATTTTTCTAAAATAAAATTGAAACTCGAGAGGCGACTTTTCAGTACAGTTAAGGACATTTAAAATGATTTGAGATAAAGTTTTCTTCGGAAACATGGGGTCACTCTGTAAATGTAGAAGAAAACTATTTTGAAAGAGGTAGAAGTCAGATTAAATATTCAAATTTTATAGACTTTTTTCAATTTTTTTTTTATTGACCTATGTATATACTTCATGTCACTGAATTAAAATAATAGGTTATCTATTGTTAGAATAAAAATTTTTACAATTTCTTTTGAGCTCCTTTTATACTCACATCTTACCTGACAATAAAATTTTGGTGTGTAATTATAAAAAACTGGCAACGCGTGACTCATGGCAACGATGACATAGTTTATTCCGAGTAGCAACACTAACACCATTTGAAAGCAGCCCACTTTAGCTTCCTCCGCATTCATCGTGAATATCTCTCCACATCAACCCTTGATAAGCCAACGACCGAAATTTTCCTTATCAAAAGTGCGACACGAATTGCAGTTTAAAATTTCTTATGATCACATTTATTTATCCCTTTACAAAGATTCAAAATAAACGATTTTAAAAGAAAAGTTAGCCCTCTCGTTTATATTAAATATTCGTCCTATTTTCTATTTGTGACATATTGGAGAAATTAAAGTGTTTTATATAATATATAGCATGTAAAGTTAATAATTTATATCAGAAAAATCATTTAAGAATTATTACTTAAGTTTTGAAAATTTGGGAGTAAGTAATTTACCGAATTATTTGTTTCTATAAAACAGAGCGTCGTCAAACGGAATACGACACGAAGTTCAAACAAAGTGCCATACACGAAGGTAAAGCGTGCACTGACAGACAGAGGATTGGTCAGGAGCCATCTCTCTTGCAGGATGCGAGGCGTGAAGAAGAAAACTGAATGGTGGTTAAATCAGAGGAGGACGAAGAGTACAGTCTATTGTTTCACAATACCTGACGATATGTATGTACATTAATGTATGTAATATATGTATATGAAGTCAAATGATCTTTCTGCCAATAACGATCAATATTTGACGACTGGCTTAACTATTGCTATCCAATGATTTCTTTAACCGTCTCTAGCTATTATTATACTATTTTAAATTGCATAAATTGTACTTAATATAAAATATGATCAAAATAGAGAGAGAGAGAGAGAGAGAGAGAGAGAGAGAGAGAGAGAGAGAGAGAGAGAGAGAAGTGTGAGGGAGAAAGAGCAAGCAAGTAAGGAAAGCGATAACGGATTACTGATTTTTCAATTTCCGAGCTGTGTCAGATGGAAGACATCGGATGATAACGCGTTTGCGATAATTGCAAATGATTGCGCGGTAAATTTCTATTCGCCGATTTACGCGGTCAATTGAAATTGAAGACTCAATAACGTAAAAATGTTATAAGCACGCGCGCACGTGCTAACAATATGAATTTTAGCATGAACCAGTTTCTCAAATAATTATTTATTCTATGGAATGTATATGGAAAATATGCGTTAATTCCGTAATGCAGCATGTACCATATACATATATTCTGAGAGAGAGAGAGAAAGAGAGAGAGGGAGGGAGAGGGGGAGAGAAAAAGTTATTGTTCGAGTCAGATAATGTCCCAGCTGAATCTGGATGCGTTCTTTTAGTCCGTATCGGATTTAGTAGCTGCTGCGCATCGGATTTGCCGGTGTGCGTTTTTTATACGATCACGCAGATACGTAGCCGGCTGCACAGCTAATTCTAATCATTAGCGTATCTACCGCGTATTCATTATCAAAAGAACGAATTACTGCAAGAACTGTTGTATCCGATGCCTAAAAGAACGCAGCCTCTATGAATTCTACAAACGCTTCACTACTGTTTACGTACATAGTAGGTACATACATACCTACATATACGTAGCGTACGTTCAGTCATAATAACAAGACATATCAATGAATATCAACTTCCATTTTTTGTTAAATATATATTGATTGTATCATAATTACACACACTAATATCCTCTACGATTACGTAATGATCTTATCTCTATCTACAATATCTCTTTAGAATAAGTTTGATTAGATGTATCTTTTTTAACAACCATTTACTTCAAAGTTAATTCCATGAAAAAGTATACTTTATAAACGTATATACACATACACACACATGCCCACACATATATAAAATTTAATATTTTTTTATATCCTAAGATAATAGATGACCGAAAATTGCAAATGCAGAATTAAAATTACATTGTAAACGATTCTCGATTGTTGCAAAAAGAGCAAACTTCCTCTTTACGAACGTTTAGTGACTATAACCTATTACAATGTTTTTGTTTTAACAGTTGATTTTGAAAGTGCGTTATACTATAAACAATATTTTGATGCTAACAAGGCGTAAATCATTGCAGCATGACAATGATAATAACCAAAGTGTTTCCTTCTGGAACTGTTTACGTATGCCGAACTCGTTACATCCGGTCTCAGTCACATCCTGTCTTTCATCGGATGACTTGTCGCTAAGACTGATCAATGATCGAATTCAAAGGAAATTCTATTTCTCTCTTTCTTCGCCATCATCATTATCACCAGTCAATTTTACGCACAATTAATATCGACATTAGGTCATGCATTTTGCCATTTACGGACAGCTCTTTATTTGATTCAATTATTAATAAAGCCATGTATCATAATCGCTTATTACTTATTTTGTTGGCGCAAAAACTTAACGTCGTTACATCGATTAAAGATAAAACAATACATAATTAGAATAGCGCGCGTGCGTGTGTGTGTGTGTGTGTGTGTAAGACAAAATTCACAAGATATCTAATATATACATTACACAATGCAACAAAAAAAATTGTTGAAGTGTGATTTCGAAAATTGATTGTGATAGAAGACGTCCAAAACAGTACACTATATACGCTATTTTGCTTCATTGAGTCTGAGTTTTATTTGACATTTGAAGTTGGCCAATTTTTGGCTGTAAAAATTACCAAAAAATGTAAAAATAAGGGAAAAGAGAGCTCGGAGCAGTGTCATTGTGTTCCTCAGAAAGTTTTACTAGCAATAAGATATACTTTATAAAAAGTAATGACTTGATTGACTTAAAACGACCAATTTTGCAATAATGAATTTTTTTTTATTGAAAAACAAGTTAAAAAGAAAATATATTTTTTAAAAATTGATTCTTTTATGCAGACGTGTTGCTGTCACTCTCATCCAAAAGCCAGTTTAAATCAATCATGGCGTCAAGCTTTTTTCCCTTGTAGCGCTCTTCTAAAGACAACGTTACTTGGTGAAAGCATTCACCTTGTTCGTCCGATTCGATTGGCACCTGACATAGAAAATATTAAAGGTGATGATGAATATGAATTTTCAACGACATGTGGATACCATTACATTCGACAGCTTTCATCATAGTGTCAACCAATTCATGGACATTCGTTCGAAGTTTTCCCAACACGTTCACGATAACATCTTTGATTGCTCGTCACGCAATTAACTCATTTCTACTGAGCTTCTCTTCTAATATCTCGTTCCTCTCCAATCGCTCAATATTAGGGTCATTTAATATGCCTAAGAAACAAGGAAATCCTTAATATGATAAAAGGCAATTAACGCACAGATTTCTACCTTCTTTGATTTTCATTGAATTAAGTCCTTTGAAAATTTCGGTCAGATATTTAAAGGCCTCTCCATTAATTCTAACGCTTTGATAAAGTTCTTTACAATGCCGAGTTTCCTGTGAAGCAAAGGAATTAGAATTCTTTCTGCCGGAGGACAAGTGGTTCTCGGATGATATTCTTAAGTATTTATAAATCAAGTATTAATTAAATTATCATCTTTATATTTAATTTGGAATTAATCAAGTATTTATCGGTGATATTATAATGCTACTGTAGTATTTATACGTTATATGTCTGAATGTTTCAGCGCGCAATTATGGAGGGACTACATATGTAGCATATAAAAATTCACACATACTTATTATTAGCACTTTGATCCAGCTTTGACCGTTATAGGCGGTAATTCTTTCCTTGTTTGTTTGACAATTTACGGTCGGTACAAAAATTAGTTGATATTCTTAAGGCTAATTTCGAATATTTTACGTGGTTCCCAATCATGTCTTTTATATTGCTTGCCGCGATATCGTGAATCCCAGAGAAAGCACTCATGTTTAACACATCCTCCCTGCATGCTGATCAAAAAAGATACGACTTTGAAATCGCAACATAAACGCCACATATAATTATTGTATTGGATACAATCAATGATCATTTGATTGTGTCGTACGTTTCTGGCAACTCCACACCATATGCACCGGATACATATGACTTGATGTTATCGAAGTGAATAAGAACGACTTTTAAGTTTTTCTTCAATCGATGAAGAGTCGTTATTTATCAACTATATATTCGGTGCTCATTTCGGCATAAAGACCAGAAATGTGACAATACACGAATGTGTTCATTTCATTGATGGTAAAGTAAGGCATAAGGGAGCCCGCACACACCTTCCGTAACAGTAACCGTAAGACATATCGTAAGAATCAGCCAATCAGAATTAAGAGTTTAAAAGAATTCTCGACTGTGATTGGTTTATTCTTACGGTACGTCTTATGGTTGCTGTTACAGAATTAAGGTAGGATGTGCGGCAGCACCTTAACTATAACTGTCATATAAATATAAGCAACTGTATAAGATATTCAATATAATTAATATTTATAAAATAATTAAAGAAATTAGGAATGTTACTGAAGATGCAAACTTTTCGCGAAAAGGTTAGCCTTCATGCAAAACGGCGATTTTTTGAGAAATCAACGATCATTCCTCAATTAGACTGATGCACTTTAGGCAATTCGCCAAAAGGCTAATTCACATCAGCCTTATTGGTTAATGTACTTAAGTAACTTTTTAACGAAGGTTGACCGCCAAGTAAAATATGTCCGAGGTCACTCAGAGTCATGACCTTGATAACATATGTCAAGGTCATCGGAACTGGGTTACCTAAAGTGCACAATTACCCTAGATTTGTTATAATAGTATACTTTTTGCAAAAAGACTATAACGAAACATCTAGTTTTTTTTTGCGTAAAGCCTAAAATCTATAGGTTTTACGCAAAAGGGCTAGACGTTTAGTTAGCCTTTTGCAGAACGTGTATCGTTAATCAATATGACTAATGTGATTTAGCCTTTTCGCGAAAAGTTTAAAGTGGTTCAGTCTAATTGAGGAACGATCGTTGATTTCGCAAAAAGGCGTCATTTTACATAAAGGTTAACCTTTTCGCGAAAAGGCGAATTTCTCGAAAAGGCTATGACATATATTATGCAGTAGAAAGTGAAGTCTCACATTTTGAATCTTCCCGATTTAACGTAACTATTTGACGCGATTGATGGATTGGTATCTTTTTGTTATAATTTATATTGAAATTACTAAACACGTTTCTGTTTCGTATTAATTTACAGAAAAATGCGCTGGTCAGTGTCTGAAAAAATTTACATGAAACATACTAAGCACACTTAGTAGATAAAGCTATGTTCAAACTTTCAAGTAATTCTTAACATATTGTTCTCCTTACAACCTTCTTAAGTTAAAAAAGCGCAAATAAGAGTCAAGCACGGTAATTGTGGCACGAAATAGAATATTATAATTGTAACACAACACATATCTGTTTATTAAATTAATGCGCTTACATATTTCGACTCATTTTTGAGTCCTCTTCATAGGACATAGTATTACTACTCAGTAGTAATATAAAAATTACTATTATATAATAAATATAATATATACATGAAGACTAATTAGTCATAGTGAGCAACCTTTACTTTATTGAAAGAACCTCAATATTGGAAATACACAGAAAAAAAAAAATAAATTATGACTAAAAAATTATCAGAGATAAATTATGGAAAAACATCATAAAAAATTTAAATTACATTAAAGGATGCAAGCTCTACAACAACCATATCACAAACAATTAAACAACAAATTATTTAATCGAAAACTAATTCTTGACCTGTCAACTAATTATCATCATATTTATCTTAAAACGTAAAATACTTTAACTTTAGTTTTTTAAAATAAACTTTAAAGTTATACCGTTTATGATCGAAAAGAAATAAGAAAGCAACCAAAAAAGATAGAAAGACTGTTTCTAATGAAAAAATGATATTGACTGATTGGAATCCAAAACAAGTCAATATTTATAGCTTATATCAATAATCGGAAAGTAGATTTTGAGAAGTCTTTCCATGTTTGTTTGTGAATTAAGATCATTCGTCTATTTCCTGATGAACAACATTTCCAAAACCAATCTCTTTCTATACCGAGGTTCTTTATCCAAAATTATAATGTTCTCCCAGTCAAACTCATGATCCTCTTGCAGTACCATGGTCAGTTATGACTGAACGTGTGATTATGTTACATCGAATATGATTTCTATGTTCGGTGATTCTAGATTTCTTTTGTATTAAACGCTCTCTTTTACATTTTTTCCATTTTTTAATTTTATTTGACGCAAATTTTCTAATAATCACTTACTTAGTGAGTAGAAAAAAGAAAAAACTGAAATAAAAAAATTCACTAATTGTTAGAATTAGACTGTTAATAGTAGACCATATCTTCAACATGCACTAGTAGTTTAAAAGTGGTTGTTTTCAAGTATAAATATCTAAGATAACCACGAGAACGACGAGGTTACGACGGGCAAAAAAATTTCGTAACACATCGCGTAATATACGGCACGAATGGATGATGCGCCAGTTAACGATCCGTGCCAGATTTCATCGGCGCTTACAATTCAGGCTAATTTCTCGTACGTTTTCTAACAGCATACAACTCCTACAGATCTACCACGCATCATTTTCCCGCATAAGAAGCAGGCCAATAGCACAGGGTTGATAATAGTCGAAAGATTATAGATACAGATTAATCGTGAGAATATATTAACTGTTAATATTTCGTAAAGATTATCATACAAATTCAAACATTGATATTTTATTGAATATAAATTAATTTACTATATTAAAAAATCTACAAAATTTGTTCGAATTTTAGTTTCTATCTCATCCATATTATTTTATGTACATTCAATTTTTCTTCAGGTTTAACTAAAAAACAGCAACCAAATTTTGCTATGTTCTTGTTATTAATAATAGAATTAAAATAGTAATACTTCTGCAAATAATTTTCAAAATGTAAGACAAGGTAAAAGACATATAAGAGTCAATAAAATTAGTTTCTTATGAAATTTTAAGTTTTTAATACAAATATATAACAATAAAATTAAATTAATAAATTTATGTTTTTATTAATTTTATTGTTACAAATTTTATTTGTATTATGTCCGTAACGATCAAACTGGACCTCGGGTGTTTCTATATAATTACGTATGAATTTATATACTACGTATGTAGATTTTTAATTGCGCGCCGTTTTGTGCGTATCTTATGTTGATCTTGATAATGTTAAATGACCTATTAAAATCTATAAACAATTAATTTTGCTTTTTAATATGTCATTTAACATTATTAAGATCGATCTAAGATGCGCGAAGAGAGTATCAAAAATCATTAAATTATTAGTCAATTTAACTCGTGATATTACTGCGATAGTTTATTAGTGTTGCGTTTCAAGTCTGAAAAATTCGGTGAACAATTAAAAATCTATATATACATAATATACAAATTCACACGCTATTATATAGAAGTTACCCGAGATCCAGCTTGACCATTGGATATTCACATCGGTTTTCATCGGTTTAAAATTTTACATACGAAAAACTAATTGTATTGACTTTTGTATGTCCTTCGTCTTGTCTTATATTTTGCGGTTTAGAGCTCTTTATTTATATTTAAGTAATACAGCATTTTCTACGATTCCGCTAAACAATCTAGCTGTTAAAATTTCGTCATGATTGCGCTGGATAATGGTATTTGCTTAGATCCAGCGTGAAAACACGTGATGTAGCGATAAACGCGCATGTCGGACATCACGACGCGAAGCGAGCCTGGGACTGCTGAAGCGTCCGATGACTGGCGTTCGACCTTATGGCGCGCGACGCGCGAAGCCGTCCGAGACTGGCCTGGATGCCTTTTTTTCGTGATGTACCGTTATCGTAGAATACCTCAGGTTCTGCGATCTCGTAGTCGGTGTATATATTAACGACGCGTCGATTTCGCTTGGCCGGTTGGGGGAGTGGGTAAATTGTGTTTCGACTATACCTATACCACGCTTCTCTTCTCGAGACACGATGCGTGTTTGTGGTGGAGAAAGATCGGCGCCTGCTCGATTTTCCTCAGTTCTGTTCGACGAACGCGGCGCGATAGGTTGTTTCTCACGCGGATGCATTGCACGTATGCAAATATCGCGACGTCGTTTTCTTGGGTAAACGTCGATCGCCATCGAGCTGTCACACGGAGCTGACCAGCTCCTTCAGTATCGGAAGTCATTAGCACCGAGTAGCGCAGTATGAGAGCTCAAATAGTTTTATTAGGAATTTTGCTCATCTGCACGAGCGTGAGTACACATTTTTGCAAATTCTCTTTTGTTTTCTTCTTTTTAATTCAATTTGTCTTCGAATTGTTTAGTTTACTGAATATCGCACTAATAGCAATTAATGTGTTTATATATATATATATATATAAATTATCATTATACAATGTTTATACTCGATAACGCATAAGTAGATCTGATTTGATCGATTGATTTTGCTCGTGTAACGGACTTACGAGTACTTGAGTATTTTATACACCAGTGGAGAAAAAATAAATTGTAAAATATTGTTACTTAATATGGATATTTTTTTCCTCTTTAATGACTATTCTTATCAAATCTTTAAATATGAAATTTTATTGAAAATCTACAATAAAGAATATATTAATTATATTCATTAAAAGTTCTATTTTTCTTAGAAATATTATCGGCTAATTAACGTGCTTATTCTAAGTATTTAATTGGTTTGATCTCTGCTTATATTTTTTTCCAAAATTGTGATTAAATCCATTTCTATAAAATATTCTCAAATATTAATAAATCAAAAACAATCAATACGTAATATGTTTTTAATAGTATTTTGTGGTATAAAAGTACCTTGGATAATCGTTTACTTAAAAAAATTCAGGTAATTCATTTTCGAGTAAATTTACTTTCTTTCAAAGCTTTTTAATTGCACTTTGACAACTTTGACGACAACTTTCGAAAATTATTTTGTAATTCACAGATTCGGTATGCAAATAGCAGATCGAAAAAAACGACGCAGCTGTCATTGCAGAGCAAAGAAACCAACGTGGTAAATTTTATGCGGCTGTTGGTGATGAGATTGGTCTTTGGGGTAGCTTCGGCGATGGGATTAGGTGAAAATCTCTCGGGTGTACTCGGCGGAATTTTCGTGCCGCCCGGAGCTGAAGAGTACAATGAAGACTACGGAGATGATGATTTAATTGTACCTGATATTTTCTAAAATAAATATTAGATCTAAAACTTAATTCTCGGTTCCTGTATTCAATCGATTACAGCACCTATTCAAATTTGAATCTTTCTTTCTCGCCATACAGTTATTTTAAAGCGTCATCTTTAAGCTTTAAAATAAGATATAATAAGTCGCTGCGAATTTAACTTCGAAAGATAGTAATGAAAACTATGTCATTCGAAAAAAGCAGTATTTAAGACACTGCCTCCTTTAACGTTCCAGTTGAAGAAAATTGCCGCAAAAATTCAAGAAATGATTTACTCGGCTTTGGGCAAAAATGTAAAAAGTGGTTCCAAAGATTTCGTGATGGTAATTTTAATTTTTTTCATCACAGAATGGACCGATTCCAAACATATCATCTTTTTTCCGAAGTGGAATCCGATAGTTGCCTAAAAGATGATGAAAATGTGTGGGAAGTGAAGAAGATTACTTTGATTAGGTTGATATTGTTCTTTTATAATTTTATAAACTTATAAACAGAACTTAGTAAAAGAGGCCGAGAATTAAGTTGTAGATGTAATATTTTTCATAGCTTAATCTTCGACAGTATTTGACAACACATTTGCATCTTGAGAATTATGCCAAAATATAAAACATGTTTTTAAATAATTACTTCAACAAAATAATTTCAAATGTTACATGAAAAATTGTAATATTTCTTTACAATATTACTAACTTTGTGTCTGAAATAACAAAATTCAGAAAATATTAACTTTAATGCATTTATTGTAAAAAAACTTTTTTCCTAATTATATTTTTTATTGCTATTATTAAGATTTATATTGACTGATAAATTTTATATTTGAGAAGTAAAAATTGAAACAAATTTAAAAATAATATATACAAACAAATATATACACGCGCGCGCGTGTGTATTTTTGTTAGTGATTTAAAGCGATGTTCGATAGACGGCCGAACTTAATCGATGTCGATAAAACAGATTTTTAACTCCAATTAAAGTATTACATACATTAAGAAAATATTTACATAAGGATGAGAAAATAAGGTTTACCGACTTTGTTGAAAAAGTAAAAAAAAAGTTTTAATCTTATATAATATATAGGGTAGATTAGGGCTATTCAGTCAGATTAAACTTTAAAGTAATACGAAAATTTACAATAGTAAACAATATCTTTTTGCAATGACACGCTTATAATTACATTATACAATCATGATTGCTTAAGAACACAAGTACAATCTTTGTAAATTGTAAATAATCTCTCTTAATAATAAACATGTGCTGCTCAAAAATACAAACATTATCGCAAGAAATGTGGACGAAAAAGCCCCGCTCTACCCTACATTACAATAATATCGAATATTAAAAATTCATAATGAAGCCGTAAATCTGTCGACCTTGCGCGAGAGGCTTTTTAAAATAAAGTTAATAGACTAAAATTCATATTTAAAAAACCAATATAAGCTGACACTGGATGTTCATTATGTAAATCAATTCGTTTTTATACGCAAAACACATGTATATATACATTTCGACTCTCAGTTCGAGTTCTCTTCAGTACTAATTATTCCCCACCATATACAATACAATTAATAATAACTTAATTATTATAGTCAACCATGTAATATTCAACTATTGTCAAATTTATTCTTAATCAAATTACCATGATTGACGAGAACAACGATTTTGAATGTATCAACAATTTAATGAACTAATTTAGAGAGACATGTATTAAAATACTGCTTACGGTATTCGAACGTTGAACATTTACTCATACAAATATTATTTATTATGTATATATATATATATTATGTTCTTCTTTATTACATTTTATTTTAGTAAATATTATATTTACTTATTTAAGTAAATGCTCAATGTTCAAATCATAAGTTTTAATACATGTGTTTCTCTAAATTAGTTCATTAATATTTAAATATTTAATCTTATAAGACCGTAAATGTGAGAAACACAACAATAAAAAACTATCTTTATTAATAGTCGAGCTGGATCTTAGGTGCTATTATAATTCCGTGTGAATTTATCAGGAGACGTGGTAGTGTCTCCAGCCATGTTCAAAAACTGAAAGACACTACAAGTCTCTTATCCCGAACCACTAAAGTCCATTTTTCGGGGGTGCATATTAAAATATAAAAAATTTTTGAATCGAACGTTATATGTTCTGAAAGGCGGCACCGCCACGAGTAATTTGAGCCAAAAAAGTTTTAAATCGGTCAAGCCATTCTGGAGATACAAGCGGTCGAAAAGTCGTGATTTTAATGAAAAATTAAGATATAACTGATTAAAAAAACAGAAACGTATTTAATATCAATAATTTTTTAAAAAATTTATAAGCTTTTAAATAGATCAAAAAATTAATGTTAATTATTGTAATGTTACATAGTTTTAATATTTTGTCTATGTAATTAACTGCGTAATAAAAAATGTAAATGATTTATATAATTGTCTTTACAAGATTAAAAACTAATAATAAAAGTTTTTCTTAATTTTTGTATTATTATTTTATACAATTTTATTAACATCCGGTATGTAAATAAAATTAAATAATTTACAATATTGCTTATTGAACATAAACTACAGCACGTTAGAGCACTAACATTGTTGTAAGCGCGTTCTGAATACAGGCCATTATGGCTAAGTTAGAAAAAATATGCGATAAACTTGTAATCGAGAAAAAAAAAATAGGTATGTCGTCGATTGACACATTCGTTGATCGCGTAGACCTCGAGCATTTCGATGTAAATGGTACAATTCGATCACGTGCAAGTTTACTAATGATTAGCATTCGTATCACGTCCTAGCACGTCCTAATTACATTCTAAATCAATGTCCGCCGAATAGGAATCATTAATGCATCATGTAACAGTTAATTAAATTTCGCATATTATAATGTCATTCAAATCAGCTTTGGTTCACGTCAAGCCGTAATAATCACACTACAGGCTCCCAACTCTAACTCTCTATTATAATTCAACATTCATAAGTACATTTTTCTAATTTATATACAATAGTACGCACGCCCCGATAGGAGGATTGGATGGAGAGATCGTAGCGTGCTTTAGCTAGGGATTTTCTGATGTATTAAGCAATAAGTTATAGTAAGTTGGCGCTAGTAGTTTTCCGTTGTGGTGTGGGCACTCCGTACCTCCCTTTTTTTATTGCTTTTCTCCTTTTCGTCCAATCTAAGAGTCACGCTTGTACTCAATTCTTATTTGTGAAATTAAATCATATTCTCTTAAGTGCATCAAAAGGAGGTCTTGTACTTTTCCTGACCCTGTCTTCTACACGTCCATTTATTAACATTTATAAACTGAATTAATCAATCAGAAATTTCAGAGGATGTTTCAAAATAAAAGTGCATGATCATTTTTTTGCCCTCCATAGTTATATTTAGTGACCTAGATTACAACAATAAATCTAAAATATCTAAATATAACATCGATATATACAAGATATTTCTCAATATATTAGATATCTATGTAAGATATACACAGTATTATATATAATTATAGATGACACATAATCATAACATGATTTCGTAATATTCGATACAGTCGCTAATAACATTTAATATTTGATTTAGTTTAGATATCTTTTATACTTGTTTTATTTTGTGCACGAAGAACATTGTACTGATATTTTTAAATATGTATACAGATATACAATACATATCTGCTTTTGTATATCGTACTATTATAGAATATAACAATAAGTATCATGATATCATAATGTCGCAAAATTTGTCCGAGTTTTTTCGATGCCTCGATCTTCATTTAATCGATCACCTAATGTCAATGAAATTAATAGCGTTTGACTGCACTAATAGGGAGTTTTTGCAATACCATTTATCCCAGATACGGTGGAACGCTAAAGTCACGTTATCTTTTTCTTCACACCTAATTAAGAAAAGGATAACGTGACTTTAACGTTCACTCACGTTCACTGAAAGAGGACATGAAGACCTTTTACCTGTAACCGCAAAATGCCTTGCGCATTACTACCCTCTGAAGAAGTGGATGTTAATTATGCAACAATATCCATCTTTTTATGACGCTCTTGATGGAAATAAATCGCTGAAATCATTAAAATCTTTATTAATTTGATAGATTTTTATTATTTCAGAGATTTCAACGATTTATTTCCATCAGAAGCGCAGTAAAAGTGTGGATATTGTTATGTAATTTACATCCACTTCTTCAGAGGGCAGTAAGTGCACGGCAGCATTTTGCGATTAAAGAAGAAAAGCCCTCATGTCCTCTCCCAGGTTTCTCTCTGATCATGTACATACACTAGTGTAGTACAGCACTGGTGCAGCACTTACACGCAATTGGTATAGTGCGAGGTTACACTGTATCCCAAGAGAAAACGCTATAAATTTCATCAAGTCAATGAGTGAATAGCGGCAAGAATATCGATAACAAATAAAAAATCGGTAACCTAGGCTTTAAAATAATTTAGAGTATCGATCATGAAACTTTTTCCCTAGAATGAAAAGTGAAAAAAAAATTTCTCCGTTAACTTCAATGGCAAAAATGTTCACTTTTTATTTTCCATTCTAAGGAAAAAGTGTCATGAGGTCTGTTTTGTATTGCTGCACTCTTCGAACAGGTGCATACGGTGCAATAAATTGAAGTAAAACAAATATATGTTTGTTTCACTTCAACTTATTGCACTATGTGCACCAATTTAGAAAGTGTAGCAAACAGATGTATGATCAATACCCCGAATTCGATATTTTATATGTTGGTTATAAAATCATCTATTAAATTATCCGTTGAATAGAGAATTTGTAGAATATTCGTAAAATATTTCAGTAAACTTTCAAATGATATTTTATTTGACGTGCAATTTACGAATTATTGATTATACATATCTGACTGTGAGTCGCGAATTGAATTACATATATATAATATATGATCAATTAAAAATATTTAATTCGACTGATATAAATTAACATAACAAATTTATTTGTTAAAACTCAATTAAAAATCTACGATTACATACGTAAGAAACAATTACTAAATTAAGAATATTTATATTAAAACAAGAAAAGAACAATTAATCTTCTTGGAAACAGACGCTTCGTATGCGCTGCGATCATCCTCGGAAAAATCATTTTCGTTTTCGTGACTTCAAAGGAAGGGATGATGACGAAGATACTACGAGGTATCTCGAATGACTGTTCAATTTTATATTTCTAATAGTGTCGAATTTCTTTATGGATTAGTCTAATATGCGTGATTAGCGACGAAAAGTGCCGTGTCTCCCGCAGCACCAGTCACACCACCCGTGTATTTGCCAAGTGCCGATTCACTGTTAGCCTGTTGAGAAATAGAAAATGTACTTGCGATACTAATTCACATATTCAATTCAAATGTCTTTCTTTACAAAGCTTGTAGAAAATTGCAGAATTGCGAAATAAACAAACAAAATCATTTTTACAAATTTTATAGGAAAAGAATTTTTTAAAAACTCTGTGATATTTGACATTAATTGCAATTATTATACATTAATTAATATTCAGTAATAAGAAATTTGACTAAATATTTAAGTCAAATAGTTCTTGAACATATGTGCTTATGTACAAGATGTTAAGAAAAAAAATTCTTGATATTTTACACATACATCACATTCCATGTAAATTTATAAAATTAACTTCAGTTAAAGTTGTATTTTTAATATATATTTGGTTGGAGATAATAAAAGAGAGTGAACAAGAAAGAATTAAATAAAATATATATGTACATATAAGCGAAAGATAGAATAAATTAGTTTATTATTTACATTGGAAAAACGATATTAATGTCTCGTGAAAAATTGCGGTTTTGAAATATCGTAATATAATCGATCATACACTTACTCCTAAAGGGGTACACTAAAAATTTGGTAAAAAATGATCAAACTTCAAACAATGATAATTTGATAAGTAAATGGAGATACAAATTGTTCAAAAGTGCAAATTGCAATTTCAAGTGTTCACTTTGAAAATATTTGATGAGAATTGTACTGGGTCATCATTTTCAACATAAAGGATTACAACATGAAAAGAAGTAAAATTGATAATCAAAGATCAAAGTTTGCGAAGGTGCATGACATAAATCAGGTAACGCAGCTTAATGGGGAAACAATGCACGTAAAAGCAGAGAATTTTATCCTTCTTAAAACGCTTCTTTATAACTCAATATAATCTTTTTTCGCTGAGATTTTTCAAATTAGGTACCACTATCATTATTAACTTAAATTATGGTTGTAATTTTTTCTAATATGAACTATACAGAGTTTGATTAGTTGGAATCTCATTTTGTGTGTATATGCGTGCGTACATAATATTAAATGATCTTCTCATGCGCGTATTATCTCATTTATATGATCAAGCGTTCTCCTTATTAGTCATTTATAGCGTTTTCCACTGGGAAAACTGGTGCAGCACTAGCGCCGTGCTACCCAATCAGCATGCCATATTTAAAAAATACTTTTTGAATATGGTATGCTGATTGGGTAGCACGGTGCTAGTGCTGCACCAGTTTTCCCAGTGGAAAACGCTATTAGTTTTATCCTGCGTAATTGTATTCCATTCAACTTCCAGAATTCTTCGAAGTTATCACAATAATAAAGGAGCAGATTTCACACTTTTCTGCTAAAATGCATCTCTAATGAAGGATGCATACTACGCATCCTTTATCCGAAACGACTCATTGTTTATGCAAGACAACGTTTGATCACACATTGCAAGAAGAGTGCTTGACTTCTTTGATGAAGTTAGCATAAATTGATTTTATGTCACTTAAACCACTGTAACTTGTAAAGTAAAGGTCCGATTGAGCTAAAATTTTGACACGTATATGTTTGAAGGTTTAGTACTTTCTAAAAATCATATGGATTTGTTATTAATGCGCCATCTATTATGTCAGGCCCGGGACTTATTGAGTGATATGTTATATATACACTATTAATGTGCACACAAAATGAAGTCCCGACCAGTCAAATTCCATGCAGTTTATATTGGGAAGAATTACGACCATAATTTGAGCTAATAACAGCTGTATCTTAAATTTAGAACTTAGAGAAAAATGATTGTATCGAGATTAATAAAAAAGATCTTTAAAAAAAATTTTATACCTTCATACACACACGTGCATGTTATCTTATTAAGCTAACTTACGCTATGCATCATTGCAAACTTGACCCTTTTAATTATCAATTTTACATTTTCACACTTTGTTTTTTGTTATCCATTTTGAAAATAATATAATCTAATACAATTCTCATCAAATATTCTTGAAGTGAACAGTTTCAAGCTGAATTTTTAAACAAATTTTATTTTTATTATTTACTATGGCAATTGCTTAAAGATAAGGATTGATTCACGAAAAAATCAATACACACACATACACATACATACGTACATATGTATTGTTTATTATGTACTTACTACCACGAGAAACGGACTGTGCGAAAAATATAATTTTTTTTTAGTAGACATGAGCTTTGACGTAGAGAGAGATATCAGCGGCTTTGCTATTTATGCTGCCGGCGATGTATTTGCCTTGACAGGCTGCAGTGTTTGCCTAAACAAGCGCACATTACATAGACATGCAAAAGTAAGTATGCAGCTTTGCACAACTTCGAGTGCTCCGTGCGATTATTAATACAACTACAGAATTATAAAACAATAAATATAATAGAGTTCTCAACATATTAAAAAATAATATATTCAAATATAAAGGGTAAATGAAAGCTATTCTTGTACACGGTTCTTATTAGTGTATGTTTTTGATTTCATTTTTTATCTCTCTCTCTCTCTCTCTCTCTCTCTCTCATTATTCTATATATTATCGACATTCTGATTGCTGAAAGGTGAGAGGAGATGTTACAAAGTTATAATTTTAGACGGACAGACGGACAGAGAAGGAGACGTCACTTCATTTCCTATGAAAATTATACAAATTTTTTGTATTTATTATCTGAAGATGGCTGAAAAAAGCGGTCGAAACGTCGATAATTTATAGAATAATAACAAAAAAAAGAATTAGAAACATACATTAATAAGAATAGTATAATAGCTCTCATTTGTATGTTATGTTTAAATATATTATTTTTTACAATTATAAAACTATTTTTCTAAAAAAAAAGCTAATAAGTATATACAAAAAAGAAAGTAAAAGTGTAAAAATAATTGAGAACATAAATGTTAGAATAGCAAATTATCATTTAGGAAAGTAAAATAGAGATCAAAGACAGACCACTGATAAAAGTGATTATATATAAATGCAAAAGGTAAATGAAAAACGAATAAAATGAGAATAACTACTGAGACATGGAGCAAATTCAAATTTACACATGCAGTAAGAACAAATTAAGTATCTGTTATTTTCATAGTATAATTTCACTTACCTTAGCTCTCTTAAGCAACTCCTCTTGACCGGCAGCGACCTTGTCGATTTTGCCTTGCCAAGCACGAAGTACGGAAGCCTGAAGAGCGCGTCCATAACTGAAAGTTAATGCCCAAGGTTTCTTTGCCGGGTATTTATTAATAGCGTCAAGATTGACTGATGCCTCTTCCTCAGATTGACCACCGCTAAGGAAAGTAATGCCAGGTACCGCTGGTGGCACAGTACGTAACAGCGCTGTTACCGTAGCGGCACCGATTTCCTGAGGAGTCGCTCTCGTCGAATAGCTCTGACCTGGAGTCACCATATTAGGCTTTAGCAGCGTTCCTTCGAGATATACGTGGTGATCTGAGAGTGCCTGATAATAAATGCATATTAGAGTGCATATTAATTATCTGATAATAAATTTTAATAAAAGGCAAAATTCAATAATCTTGTTTCCTCAACAAAAGCTCGCGATACCTTGTAAACGGCCGCAAGAACCTCTTCTGTAACTTTTTGACAACGAATAAGATCATGATCACCGTCAGGAAGGATTTCAGGCTCTACGATGGGTACGATCCTAGCGCTCTGACAGATTGAAGCGTAACGGGCCAACACGTTGGCGTTCTCTAGGATGGCGAGTTTGCTTGGGGTATCTTTCGTGATCTTCAACACGCATCGCCACTTAGCGAAGTGACATCCATCCTTTTTATACTGGATACAACGCTCTTGAAGGTCGTCAAGACCCTGGGTTGTACATTCGTTATCTGTACCGAAGAGAGGAACGACACCCTTGTCGACTTTAATACCAGGGATGATGTTGCGTTGCTTCAGTAATTCGACAAACGGCGTACCGTCGTCGGCCTTTTGATAGAGAGTCTCATGGAAGAGGATCACTCCAGAAATGTGCTGTCCAATAACATCCTAAGAAGAACCAACGTCAAATAATATTATACGTAACATATGACAACGAAATTATGCAGTTAATGGAAAAATATAAATACTAAAGTTTTAATAAAATTAACATGTTACACTATATAAATTAAATGTTTATCCGATTCAGTCATATTTTTATATATGATTGGATCAAACTGAAGTTTATCTGTAGAGCTATTAATTATTATTCAAACGTACTTTTGCTGTAGTGAAAAGTAATTGCCTGTAAGCCCTACGATTTTCCTCAGTATTTTCAACGTTGATGTCCTGAAGACGTTTGCCAATCGTTGTAGTCGACTCATCAGCAGCCAGGATACCTCTACCAGGTGTCACGATCTGTTGGGCGATCGTCCGTAATTCTTCTTTCAGCTCAGGTTCGAGCTTGCTATACTTTTCCACAACCATTTTCTGCAAAATAAACCACAAAATTAACTTAAATTATTAACAATCGTAACCCTAAGGGGGCTTCTCCATCCTCCTAAAAGCGAATAAAACAAATATATTTATATAGAATTATAGATATATAATTTAAAATTACTAATAGCGTTTTTCACTGGATAAACTGTGCAGCACTAGTGTCGTGCTGGATTTCGATGAAAACTACACTAGTGCAGCATTAATGCAGTTTCAGAGGAACATATCTTGTGCTGTCACCTGATAACCTTATAAAAAAATGAATTCAGAAAGCAAATTATGATTTCAATTAAATGAAGTACACAAATTTAAATTACTTGTTTTACAATCTTTAACATATTCTCAATTATTTATTAATTTTTTTAATCAGTTTAATGGTTTTGAATATTAAAATAGTAATAGCTATATTTTAAGAGGTAATTTTTTAAAGAGCTACCTCACCTCCGATTTCGATGAAATTAGGCTCATTCGACGTCTTTTTGCGTAAAATAAAAGGATCTAGTAGATAAAAGTCCGGGACTGCCCTGCGAAGCAAGATATTGAGCGTTAAAGTTGACGACTATTGAGGTTAGGAAATCTGACAGATCGTCATAAAATAGTGCTTAAACAGTGTCTGCTTGGAATATTTCTAACTCGTGTAGACAGAGCAGTGTGTGGACAATTAACGCATAGATTCGGGGCGGCTGTAGTCTATTTTTCCGAACCTCAATAGTCGTCAACTTTAACGCTCAATTTAATATCTCGCTTCGCAGGGCAGTCCCGGACTTTTTTCTGCCTAGAAATGTTAATACCAAATGCAGATGAAATGACATGTAGCAGAACGGTACAAGTTGGACGAGCGATTTCCGAGGTGAAATGAAGGTGAAAGAGCAAACGGATGTCTCCGATTTGCAATGCCGAACGCACCTATTGAATAACGATTTGTAATGTGTATTTATTTATTAATTCTGCATCATGACAAACTTCAGAAAGTGAAAGGAAAAATTTAAGTTCTTTTTTTAAGCGGCGCACACATGCGGACATTGCGGACATAAATTGCATCATCAGTGGGAAAATAAATGCGCGTTGTAGAAGTTGTTGGTGACTCGCCAGACTATATATTTAGACGATATATTTGGACCAACTATATCTTTATGATGTCGCTACGCAGAACTGTTAAAAAAAAATGCGAGGTGAAAGCCGGAGAATTATCAAACAAATTACTTTCTAGTAGAACTCGAAATAACTCACGCTATTAATATGAAATAAATGATTTTCACAACTTTCAGAATTAAAGAAAATATATATTAATTTTTTACTACATTAAGTGAATGTAGAAGAATTAAAAATACAAACGTCTTTATAATGTGTTTTATGTATAAATTTATCTTTTTTTTTTTTTAAGAGATTTTTATGTTATTGCATTTTATAATTGTTATACTATAAAGACGGCAAAAAAATATTTCCTTATATAAAAGATTATAATAGACAAAAAATGGTAAATAATTTTGATAGAATTTATGTACAGAGAAAAATGTAAAGTACTACACGCTAGAATTCTAGTAAATATATATATTTTATGAAATTGACAGAACTCCATATAAGGATAGGTCATTTTTTTATGTAATTTACTTTTCTGATGAGTGATTATTGTTTAGCTATTTTGTAGGTATTTTTTACATTTTACACGATAAAAAAATATAAGTATATAAATTAAGTCTTGAGAAAGGTTCGTGCTTACTTAATTTTGAGAATACAAAACATGTAGTATAATTTACTTTACTGTAAGGTAATAATTACTTCAATGGCTGTAATTGTAATGTACTTTCTATCTCACCCCTGATATTCCCCACTAAAAAAAATCACGTCACAAAGTTACATAACGAAATCATGTAATTAAGACAAGTAAATCACAATGGATTGTTCCAAATTAGTATGTAATTTTTTAAAATACGTAATTTGAAAAGTTACTAATAATATGTTTTTTTTTTTATTTTTATAGCTGACTCTACACAGTCAATAATACTGATCAATACTGAATCAGTAATACTGACAGTACGCATCAATATTTTTACTGTTGTTATAGCCTTACGCGATCAGTATTATTGATAATGAATTTTACTTTTATTTATACGTATATTATCTACTGCACTGTAACATATTGTAACATGAATCCTAATACAAACGACGATACTGATGCTCGAAAACCAAAATTCAGACACTGTCAGTATTCTACGTCAATCTATCAATATTAATACCATACACGATAATATTGTCAATATTTGTTAATATTGACAGTATTATTAACCGTGTAAGGTCATTTTATCATTCAATTCTTTACGATTCAATAATTATAAAATCATGGATGAAATTTTTATTACATTTTACCTTTAATACTTGTTGAAGCTTTTTAATAAATTAAGTCTAATTTAAAATGTTTTCTCTGATTATATTTAAATTATTAGTAAGTTTAATAAATTATCAAATAAATCTGTGTTGAGGCAATGGTAAGTTTCCGGAAGTAAGAAAATCTTCCAAATTTTCTGAGAGAATATTAACGAGATAGCGGCTTAAATTATTGATTATGTAACGGAATACGAACATGCCTATTATCTATCGCAGTAATAGATACATATACAGTGCGTATGACTATTGTGCTTGATGTATATATACTGCACGTGGAAATATTCTTCCGGCTCTTTAATAAAAGTATAACAGGATTAATGATTATATAATATTATGATATAATATATTTGCTCTTATAATTCTTTAAGGCATGGATTTCTCTAACACTTTACGTAAAGAGTGAAATCTCATTTACTTTTATGTATGTACACTAGGCTTTTTTTAAATAAATAACAGAAATCTTATAAAATTTTCATTTAACAGCGTAATGTTTTCTATTCTATTATATAGTATAATGTCTTCAAATGTATAAAAATATGTACTTAATATTTTACGTATATGAAACTTTTATATATATGTATTATATTACATATGATTCGTGTGTGTGTATGTATACATACATGTGTATATATTTTTCTGATAATTTTGTTATTTTTTTAGTTTGCTTTATAATAAAATATTTCTATATTACCTCTGTTGGAATGTAGAATATATTTGTTAACATGTTGATTATATTATAGTAATACAATATATTCGTATATTCGACCATTTTGAAGTTGACATAATGATTAGCATAATGAAATTGTATTTTATTATAAACACACAAAATTGATACCTTTGTTTACTCGTGACAATAAAAATATTTAATTTGCGTACAATCTCTAACTTTAAGAAATAAAATACATACATTAAAGCACTTGTCATTGATATTTGTCATTGAATAGTAAGTAGATAAGTCGCATATGACACAGTTGCAACGAAATGTCAGTCAAGGTCAAAGGTCGTTATAGATAGGTTGAGCATTTCAGATATTCCTTGAGGCAAAATACGAAACGATCAATACCTAGGGAGGTACAAGTAGAATGGCACATATCATGCGCACACAATTTTTTTCGTTATAAAAACGAGAGACAGCACGTGGACTCACCTAATGCAAATGAAGACCAATTCGTATATGGAAGCTGCGCGAGCGCCTGTTATAATCCACCTAATGGTTGGAGTGTGACTGACACAGGCTACGCCAGCCGTTGTCGGTTTCAAAGTCTGATTGTGTGTTTATCGCGCGCATGCGCTCTTGTATGCAAAGGTGCTCAACTTGACGATATTGTCGAAGACAGGAAAATTAACCGATTGGCTTTTGTTATGTGATTTTATTAAAGTCGAAAAATGAACGTAATAAATCTGTAAAATTCAAAGTAACAATAAGTTAAAAAATTTATACAGACAAATATGTAGTATAAAATATAATTCAATTATTATTATGGCTGCATTATTATTATTATTATTATTATTGAATGTTTGTCAAAAACCATCGCGGATAGAATATAGCACTGGATAACATTTATCTCATAGATCATGATTATCCCCGATTAGAAATATTATTTTACGAAAAAAACAGTTTAGTATTTGAGCAATTTTCTTGAACTGTAAAACTGCTATTTACTATTTTGCAGCACGTATCTGTTACGTTCCTGGCATACCACATGATGATGAGTTATTCAGAGATCAGGAAAATGGGCGTTGGAGCATTGTCACTAAACAGTTTGCCGAGGAGAAATGACGACAATATCGATCAGTAGACGGACAAGTCCGCGTATATAAACCTTGCATTGAGAACCATTATTTTAGAGGTCAGTCAAGAGCACCTTGCTTAATATTTATCTCGAAACTGATGAAATTTTTTAAAGTGTTAAATGTTGAAACTAAAAGCGTACAAAGATTGAAATACATTCGTACGTCCACAAATATTGTCAAACGTGCCTCCTTTTCTTAATTACCAGATTGTCTTATCACACGTGATATAATAGTTTATTGCTCAAATGGGCTCGACCCATCGCTTTGGTTCTTATCTAACAATAACATACGATTTTAGATTTTTTTTTATCAAATCAATATCTCACCAATTTTCCATATTACATATCTATGTCTGTATAATGTGCTTAAAATTTTGATATTGTCAAGTATATGAGAACACCCGAAAATATACTGACGAAAATGAATGCAACGATATGTACAGTCTATCCATTTTTTATACATGGAATTTGATAAAGATTATATTATTCTCTAAAATATTTATATAGATCAAATTTTACTTTTAAAGATTGAAAAAATTGAATTTTTTTCCTAAAACTAGCTCAATTATTACTCTAAAGTAAGATTCTACTCCAAAGAATTTAGAGAGTATATTATGTGTGTTATTATATGTTTTGTAGACATTATCTTTAATATTATATGTTCTAAATAATTGTTATTTATAATGAAATTTCATATGTGTGTCCATCAGATATACATATCTTTAAACATAAATTTGGAAAGAAAAGGGCACTAGGAGTTAAGCGCAGATAACTTTACACAAACGCTGATATATATCAAGCAAAACTTATTTATTATAATAATTATGCTTAAGCATATTATAACAGTTATGTTTAAGCATAATTATTATAATGCTTAAGCATAATTATTATGCTTAATTATTATAATAAATAAGTTTTGCTTGATATATATCAGTGTTTGCGTAAAGTTATCTGCGCTTAACTCCTAGTATCCTTTTCTTTCCAAGTTTATATTTGAATTGTACCGGAATTTTTGTTACTTCAAAATTATTATACATACCTTTAATTTTCAGAGATATTTAGAGAAGTAAAAAATTCTCGTTTACATTATATATGCACATACATTTTGAAATAATTATAAACTTTCACATTTTTATTTATTAAAAATTATTCTTTAACGATAGCATAAATTTTATTTAAAATATAACTCGTACTATGTTAATTTTTCTGGCGATTGTAAAATTTTATGAATGTGCTGTATAATTACAGGGAGAGAAAATTAAATCTGTTTAATTCACAAAGCGAATTGTTGTCTTGAACTCGTAATTTTCCCAAAGATGCTTCGGAGCATAATTTTACCCTTTTAAGAAACATTGCTTGAGCTTTATCTACATTTTCCGGATTATTTTTCCAAATCTTTATTACCGTGTTCTAATAAAGCAGACGATAAATAGAACTTATTAAATTTTTTTTACCAATTTAAAATTCAAAAAATTAATAGACATCAATAAATACAACAAATTCTATTTAAATTTAAATAAATTTTAAGATACCTGCAAAGCACGTCCATAACAAAAACTAAGCCTCCATGGTATTTTATTGTCACACGCGTTAATGGCGTTTAGATTTAATACAGCTTCTTCGTCGGTTTGATCACCGTTTAGAAAGAAAATTGCTGGAACCGCCATGGGTACTGTTCTTCGTAATGCTCTTAGCGTATACTCAGCAACAATCTATAATTGCAATAATGTTTGAGAGCAAATATATATATTCAATAAAATTGTATTCTTAGAGAAATATTACAATTCGCTTTATATTATATTAAAGCAATACCTGCGGCGTGCACTTTATTGCGTTTTTTATACCGGACAGTACCATGGCTAATTTCAAAACCATTCCCTCTAGATATACATGATACTCATTCAGAGCACGAAAGAGGATGGACAACATTTCTTCATGAACTTGTAAAGCTCGATCTATATCATATTCGCCATTATTCAATATTTCTGGTTCTACTATGGGAACCATTCGCGTTCTTTGGCAAATGCTAGCAAATCTATATAAAATCGAGATACTTCAAAAATATGTTACACAATAGAATTGCATAAATACAATAATATTTTATATGTATACTTCTACGATTCTATCAAACGTCAATTATAAATTTTATTTATGTTTAATAGTTATTATATAATATGTGTATACAGTGTGAACAATATATAGATTTTATCAACAATTTTTGATGAAATTTATTGTGCAATAAGCGCATAAAATTAATTATCGTCAATCACGCGATACATTACATTGTTTTTATGAATATTAAAATAATCAGACACCTAGCAAGAACATTTGCATTAGCAATCATCGCCAACTGACTGGGACATCGTTCCGAAATTGAAAAAACACATTTCCATTCAGCAAGGTGACAACCCTCTTGTTTATATCGAACACAATTCTCCTGTAAATTGTCCAAACCTAGCGTAATCTTCTCATCCTCGGTATTGAAGAGATGTACTAAACCTCGATCGACTTTCACACCGGCTACAATGTTTCTTCGACGCAGAAACTCGATAAATTCCACATCTTCCGATGTTCTTTGATGAATCATTTCATGATGTAAAATCACGCCGCTTATGTATTGCGAAAATTGAGACTAAAGTCAAAAGCATGTGCAACATTATTATATTATTTATATTAATTATCTTTTATTTTATTATGCTATGTGTCATATACATATGTTTTTGAGTATTATGAAACTATATTTGTCTGTGGAATCTGTTGCGTTACGTCTTTGCCGCGATATAAAATTTCTACTACCATACAGTGCTCACAATAACCTTATCCGCAGATAACAACATTTCTCGATAAGCACGTCTCGTCGATTCGGTGTTATTTATACCAATTTCTTGAAATCTCTCTTCTAGATTTGAAGGTGATTCATCACAGGCCAATAATCCTTTTCCAGGCGCACTAATCGACTTGACAATTTTTTGTAGTTCCAAGCAAAGAGCAGACTCGAGTTTGGATGATATCTGATCAATAGTAAATCTTCGCATAAGTGAATCATTTAGAAATAGAGAAAGTGGCTAATTAGAAAATAATTATCTCTGTTTTTTTTTTTAATTCATTACTGTGGTATATTAAATATATTTTAAGTTTTACAAATGGATCAAGATATAATTATATTACATAATGGCATTTGTTGATAATCTGTTGTCATCGATTATCAATATTTACAAAATAGTCCAAAAAATAAAACAATATTCTTAAATATGTCAATTATAAAGTTGTTTTGGCAAAACCAATTTAAATAAAAAAAAAATAGCACCATTTGTTTTGTGTTTTTAAAAAGATTGTTTTAAAATGTATCTTTAAACAAATTTTTTATAATAAATCTAATGTAATATGATAATAGTATATAATAAGATAATAAAATATATAACAAGATTTTATATATATATATATATATGTATATATTAAAGTGTAAAAATTACTTTATCATCGCAGTAACCATTTTCCAACTGCATCATTTTTTATGTCAATCTCGATACCATATGTTTTTCAATTTAGTCAATCAAGATATTCGAGACATTTATAAATTTATTAATGTAATTATGAACAAACATAGAAACATTTTTAGTGTGCATAATTAATGTTAAAAATGTTTTTCGTTTTAGTATGCGTGATGTATTCATCAGTAGTTTTTATCTAATCAAATTTTCTAGAAACTGAAATAAATTGAAGTAAGCGATGAAATTGATTAAATTATCTATATTATATTATACATACAGGGTATTTGAAAAAAATAGGACTCCTGTATAATCTCTAATCTAAAAGTACACACTTTCAGGAAAAATAATTCAAATAAGTTGTAGGAGGTCATAAAGAACTATTTTTTGGTGATTTTAAATTTAATCTTGAACTTGAAGATCATGTGAAGATAAACATGGAATTTTTAAATAGAAACCTCCTTTTTGACTCTGGTCAAATTAGTGACAGTCATAGAATGAGATTATTAATAAATATCAATGACTATTAATATCTCTTGGCTTCAGTTCATATGGGACCCATTTTGCTTCCTTGTAGATCTTTCCCAAGGCTTTCAAACGATCGGAAATAACAGATCGAGCAGAATTTAATGTTTCTGCAAGTTGTTTTTGCGTTTGACATGAGGTCTTCCTCCACCAATGCCTGAAATTCTTTGTCTTCAAATGTTTTTGGCCGTCCAGAACGCTCTTTGTCCTCCACATAAAAATCACCATTTTGAAAGCGCCGAAACCATTCTCTGCATGTTTTATCGAAAGGAGCACTATAACTATAAACTTCTACAAGCATTCAGTGAGCTTCAACTGCAGTTTTCTTCCATTTGAAGCAAAAGATTAACACTTCGCGTAAATGACGCTTATTTGGCTCATTATCGATGCAGTAAAAAAGCAATGTTATTGATGCAAACGTATACTTTTACATACTGAATTTTATTGACAGGTGGTAAAACTAAAAAATTAAGCTTGGTTTAGACATTAGAGTTATCGACAATTCTAGCTATAACTATTCGCTGCTAGATGGACGGAACTTTCCGACACACCTAATACAATTGTGTATGTATTTTTACCAACTGTATTTGGATTTAGCGCTAAATTTAGGACAAATTTGTGATTGGTTGTTCTAATACTTTTCCGCCATTATGCACAATGAAATACCTTATATTTTTATACCATGTCACACACACAAGTACGAGCTTATTATCCATATCTTCACTTTCGGACCGAAGGCGAGTACACCGACATGGGCTCGTACTTGTGTGTATATTATAGCGCCTCGCCACCGTTTAGAAGGCTAATAGGCGTAAAAAATGATGTTTATATCAACGAAATTTTCTGTAGCTTACCATTTTCATATTATGCTTAATTATGAAAATGTGAATAATCTCGTACTTATGAAAATCCTAAAAATGAGCAGACACTAATCTTGGAATTTCGTATATGAAAGCGTACTTTTCACTCGTTTCGACAGCTGTCAAACCGTATGTTTCTTGCCGAATATAGACTCATTTTACGTGCCTTTCACGACCATTTACTGACTATCAAGAGAGAAAAGTATAGTTTCTGCCCATTTTTACAAATGGGATTTTTACAAATAGAATTTTACAAATGTTGTAAAGCGATCTCGTCGTTAAAATTTATCCAAATTATCTTTATTGAAAAATGAGACGCAACAAAAATGAACGAGTCATTCTCATTTATGACGATTCCAACATGGTCGCCGCGATACGCATACGCGATATCTCTCTCTCTCTCTCTCTCTCTACTCAGAAGCCTTAAAAATACTTTCTTATTCTAATAATAATTATTGAGTAATGTAATTCAATCTATATTTTTTATTGTATTAGGTGTTTGAATTAATTTTCGCTGTTTTTTGCTAAAAAAAACTCATGCTTATTTTATCAAAAAGGTATTTGATAATTTATTCACAATATTATCCATCGAAAGCTATAACCTTTCCCCACTTTTCGGGTAACAAATGGATTCCGCGGTAGAAAAATCTCTGCAAGTTGTTTCAGATAGAGCATGCTCCCCATAAGCCTCCACTAGCAAACGATGACTTTCAGCAGCAGATTTCTTGAGGTTAAAACAGAAAAGTAACGCAAATGCTCTTTTTTGGTACGAAACCCGACATTTTTAATGCGATAAAAAATTATGTTCTTTGCATTCCGATAAGATTTTATATACTGATTATTAAAGCCTATTGATAGTACTTTCATATACACAAACAGTCACTTTCGGCTATGTTGAAACAGCACAATAAATACTGACCTTTCAACAACGAGAATTAATTCAAACACCTAATACGTCATCGAGAATAAGAATTTCCAATTTTCAAATAGCGTGAAAGAATACATTTAATCTATACTTAACCGATGAATAAGAATACTTTGGAATTTTCATTTTTCGACTTTAAATTATGCGCTTTTAATCTTTTCGTTTTTACTGTTCTTAGTTTTTAACATTTAATTATACCCTATGAATCTTGACGATCTTATTAATATGCAGTGATTATTATTGTTTTATATTGTGCATTTTTTGTATAATTAATTCTTGTAATGTACTAGTGATAATCAAAACTTGACCGAAACGTTTACTTTTCTTTTTTAAATATACAAATTTTGCGAATAACATCTTGCGTTGTATGCTCATTTTTATTTGTTTCTTTTTTTTTAATTAAATAAGAAAATTGATTTTCTATATAAATTTTATTTTCGATAAAATTCCATATAATAGGAATATCATAAAAAAAATTTAAACTTAATCTAATTTTTTATGTAATGTTTCACATGAATTACAATTTTAGTAATAACAAGTATACTTATGTCCTTACATAAATGTATTCAACGTCACAATGCAATCCAAAAAAATGCTGTGATAGTAGATAATAATAGTGTGTAAAGGAAGAATATATAAATTATATACAATACACGTTTATGTGTAATATATATACAGGGTGTCTCTAAATTCCCACATATGGTGTATAAGAACAAACAACTTTTATTTATTTATTAATTTCTCATATTTTAAGGAATATAATATAGGAGGTCAAGAGCCAATACTCATAACTATGAGTTAATAATAAATAATAAAAATTAACTAATTTTTATTATTTACGACTGTAACAGAGTCATATTTGCATCTTTAAATGTTACTTTTGAATAATAACCGAGAGCAAGATACACGTGAGTTAAGAGCGTGCGTCGGTCCTAAGTGCTACATAGACAAGAACACTCATACAGTAACTTCAACTTGCTCTCCTGCAAAAACTACTTGTCAGACGCAATTTTGTTAAAGGAAAAAGTTATTTAGCATAAAAATATCACGTCTTATACTCCGTACGCGGAAATTTAGAGATACCCTATATATAAAACTTTATATATATATATGAAGAATATATATATATATATGTGTTTGGAAGTATTTGCCGTCTCCTTTAGTTGCTTGTTTATTAATTTCTCTGTGACGTTCTCGACTCACTATCTCTTCCAAGACTTCTCCATCGCCTTTGATTAATCTTTGCAAAAACACAAAAATTAATTTTAATAGCAAATTCTATTGAACGTGTTAATGCATATTAAAGCTGTTGTACACTAATATAATCTAAGTAAATGCAAGTGAAATGCAAATATTTTGAATTATAAAACGTATATTTTATTTAACAAGCACAATAAAATATATTCAAAATTTGACAGTACAATTCGTTTTTTAATTAAACACATCTTTAAATCAATTTGTGTACGGCAGCTTTAACTGCAGCCCGCACTGATTGTGAGTGCACATCTCTTTCTGCCTCCCCTTTCCCTTCCCCCTTTTCTCTCTCTCTCTCTCTCTCTCAAATAAAATTCGCTATAAAGACTCCTTCAGACGATATGACCAATATAGACGCCAACTTTTTTTTGCATATATTTCCTAAATATTTACTACATTTAATATACATAATTATGTTCTATATTATGTATGTGTATATTTGCTAATGTTGGCATATATCGTCTGAAGGCTTTTAAAACACATACAAATGTATACATAAGAAAGACAAGTTTACAATTATTATAGGCGATTTTTGGCGATGGTAAGGTACATGCACCAAGGTTGTTATTGGTAGAGGTGGAACTCACATTGTGGATAACCTTATACCTTAATTATTCGCTGAAACATACTAGTTCTTTTTCAGATACGCGAATTCGACACTATTTAAAAAGACTAAGAAAAGGATAAATGTAATAAGTTTTAATAAAGTATATTTTACTGTCTTAATAAGTGAATGTATAATGATGAAGATGATGAAATACTTTCAGTAGACGAGTATTTCTTTGCAAAACGTGGAAGAGAAAAATTATCACATTATTAAGCACAAACGAAAGCAACATCATAATTGTCCTGAATTATATTCCAAAGTTTGGAATATTATTATCTATATTATTATTAACTTTATTATTTATTTTTTTATTTATCTATAAATAACAAATAAAATAATAAAATTTTTACATAATAAAGAGATTTTATTTAGTACACAAATAACTCAATACTCAATCAATGCCTTAACCAATATGAACATAGAAATTAAGATCATAAATGCCAAATTTATATAATAATTAGTATACGTTTATAGGTCAACCTCTAATCTAAGATAACTTACCGAATCAAACATAAATACAATATGAAATAGATATGTAACATGTATTGTTTATATCTTTTCGTGTTATATTTGACACGTATTTCCAACCTAGAAATTTTTAATTGGTACCCTGCTGTATTGCTAGCTATAGCATGGTATCAACCATATATCAAAATGGTTAGTTCCACCTCTATCACTAATGACCAAACATACAAAAACGTTCTGGTACAGTTTGGTACACTTTGGTTGTTATACCTGAATCACGCCAAAAATTGCCTTATATATGTATATAAATTTCATTATCTATATTCAATGGTTTTGCAACATATTTACCTATGTCTTCCAGTTTCTTCATCATACATTCTGTGCACAATGCTCTGCCTTTTTTCCCATTCTTCTTTTGTCATGGGTGCCATAGCTTTTCCTCTTTCTATTACATTCGATACAATTTCCTTCACTTTTTCCTTCCTATCTTGAACTTCTTTATTTCCTTTAGACTTCTTACTATGTCCTTTTTTTTTAGTTGCAGATTTCTTAAACTTTTTCTTCATTTTCTTCTTCATTCGTTTTTTCTTCTTCTGCTTCTTTATAGCTTTCTTCAATTTTTTAGCTTTCTTTTTAGCTTTTTTCTGCTTCTTTTCGTCCTCTGAGCTATCAATACTGCTGTCACTATTACTACTACTACTGTTAGTATCACTACTGCTGCTGCTGCTGTTGTTGACGCTGCTGCTGGAACTGCTATAGCTACTGTCACTACTGCTACTGCTAGAAGAACTAGAAGTAGATGAAAATCTTTTTCTCTTTGATTTCTTGTGACTTAGCTGAGTTATATTTTGTATATTTTCTATCTTTTTCTTCTCTTTCTGTTCTATGTGTTCAACTATTTCTGTGTCATCTTTTATTGAATCAGATTTTTCTATCTTAGAAACAGATCTTGGTCGATTTGTTTGTTCTTTTGAACTACTCTCTCGTAACAGCTGACTAGTTGTATTGTAGCCAGTATTTCTATAATTTGGTATCCTTGATCTGTTATGATTAAACGTTCTTTCAAATGATCTGCTATATCTACTATAATGATAATTGTTATATGCATCTCTTCTATTTCTATTATAATAATTATAGTGTCTATAAGGTCGTGAATAACCAAAATCTCTTTCATTATTCAAAAAGTTACCGTGCCTCCGATTGTAAAATCTGTAATTGTTGCTATAGTTTCCACTGTTTCTTTGAAACTTTTTAGTTTCATACTTTTTAGTTTTGTATTTTATATCCTCATCTCTATTCCTCTTTGCTTTATATGTATTTCTTTCTGAGTTTGAAATATTAGAAGAACTAGAACTATTGGAACTACTTCTACGTTTTGACTTTTTTCTTTTATCCTTACTACATATATTTCGCCTTTTTCTGTTCTCAGAATCATTGTTGGAAGAAGAAGCCGAACGTCTCTTTAACTTGCCTACTTTGGCTTTGTCAGATGATTCTATCTCCATAGCAGGTCTTTCCAAATCATTCATTATAACGATAATCTATTAACAACAAACTTTATTTAAATGTAATCTAAAATCTTAGAATCAAATTAATTAAATAAATTTGCATACAATTGAATCTTTTACATATTTTACATAATTCAATATGAGATTGTTCCATTTCTTGTATCAATACAAAGTCTATAATTTCTAATAAAACGTATTTATTTCAATAATATATATATGTAATCATTATATATATAATATATAAGTCACGGAAATATATAAGTCACGGAAATATATAAGTCACGGAAAATACTTAGCTTTCTAAACATATTTCAATGTTTTTCTATTGTAAGTTACAAAAATATAACCTTCTCCACCATGCCTAATAATCATCACATATTGTGACGTAAAACTATGCCAAAGTGCCAGGACAGCGAATAATCTATCTTTTCCCCATTTAATGATATTTATCGATCGAGAAATTGACAATTTATTAAAACACGTTAAATAATTACCTGCTTATCACTTTCTGACCATACCCTCTATTCAATCTTCGTCACTTTGTGTCGATGAAAACTCGAAGCGCATAAGACCGACAGGATTAGATATTAGAGAGACCCTCGAGTAAAAGGTCTGTTCTTTATTTCTGCATTATGTATGTACACACAGTGTTGCTAAATGGCTAAAGCTGAATTTTCCTATATTCAGAATGAATTTTCCCCAAATTTTCAAACAAAATTAAACTTTAAGGCGAAATCTCATGGATTCAGTCGGCGCACAACGTAAAGAAACTAGGCCAATCACAGAAATTACGCCAGTTTTCGTTACTCCAGCACAACAAATTCACGCTAGCCGTTTGTGTTACTCATCTTTCTATAGTAAAAATTGATCTAATTTTTTTTTCATATTTTAGTTGAGATTATGCATATTTGTTTTCACTTCATGTGACGTATTAAAACGGCAAGCTTAAAATTTCATTGTCCTATGGGGATTATTTAGGCCGGAAACAGACTACGCATTGAGATTGAAATCTGACCAATGAGGATAAAGGAATTTTAACTCCTATTATTTTGATTAGCCAAAATTCAATCTCAATCTTCAATGCGTAGTCTGATTCCAGCCTTACGCTTCATTAGAACAGTTTACCAACTGTTTAACAGTTCTGCTAGATCTTCGCACTAGTCTAAAAGAGAACATCAAAATATTGAATTCTTGTATTGAGGAAGTATCTTCGTCAGTTCTTCAAATAGAAAAAAATGTAAATTCTTAACTTTTTTCCAATTTCTTATATTTGTACTTATTATATTTTGGACAATTATAAGATATTTATTATTATATAACCATCGACATATAGAATGGACCGCTGATGGTAGTGGTGGGGGTAGAAAGACGAGTAGAGTGAGAAGAAAAAATAATATGATTTCTCTGTTTACTGATAACTACTGATTACTATTGGTCGCTGTTAATCCAACAACCAATCAAGCTTCAGTAAACAGAGAAAGAACGATCATATTATTTCTGTCTCTCACTTTACTCGTCTTTCTACCCCCACCACTACCATCAGCGGTCCATTCTATGTGTCGATGATATTAACTAAATGTCGTTATCATTGGGGAAAGAAACAGTATCAATTTCTTCAAAATTTCGATAACAACCATTCTTTTTTCTTACAAGATCTCCCCAGAGAACATTAGATTTGCACGTAGGGCAAGTGCCCTCGATCGGTAAAATCATATCAACATTATCTTTACAAAATTCTTTTGCTAAACAAATTAAGTGAACAATCAACAGGCATTTTGGTTTTATGCAAGTAACAGAATCTTTTTCTATTACACTCAAGCCGCAAAGAGAACAAAACAATGACTTCTTCATTGGCAATTGAGATTCTTGTAATAGAATATCATCTTCGTTTGTGTTTTGTGTTTGTTTAACTTTACAACTAGTGACTTTGCCATAGCATATAGGCATGTGTAACGGTGCAGATATACATTCGTAATAATTCTCGGAAAATTGATGATCCAACCATCGTACAGTTAAAGGTAGACGACACCAAGGCCCAATTTTTAACATTTCAGATAGGACCATCAATCGAAAATCAAGCATCTTCTGTGATGACTTTTTCCCAGGAATATGTTTAAGTCGCCTACTTACATTTGGATGTTGCCAAGCCCATTCAAACTAAAACCATGAAGATAATGTTTAGATATTAAAATAAATTTATTTAAAAAAAAAAACAATTTGTTTAAAAAAAAAAATAGGAACTTTCTCAAAACTTACTCTAAGTGCAGAAGTACTGTTAGGAAATCCATGAACGCATATGGAGGATGTATTGGAAGTTAGAAGTACGCTAAAAGATTTGAAGGGGTTAGGGTGCAGCCACAATAGAAGGAATAAGGAATAAGAAATTTCAGTCTATCAGAAATTATGTATACCAATGTATCCGATTTTTGATAGGCTAAAATTTCTTGTTCCTTATTCCTTCTATTGTGGCTGTATCCTTACAATTTTAATGAACTTAAGGACATCCTAAAGTTGTCTGTATTACCGACTATTACTGACTAAACCGTATAATTTTTGTATCGTAAATACATTTTTTGTACACATACATATTGCACACATACATAAACATACAAGGTGTTAAAAAAACTATAATTTAACATTTATATGGTAGCAGGTAGATAGTACATATAATATTGAATGAAAGCCTTATAATTAGTGAATATAGATCATACACAGTATGTGGTATGCAACACTTAGAAGAGACAATAAGTAAAAGTTATAACTTTATGAGATTAACATACAAAATAGTTTATATCTCAAAAATGGCTTTTGATTTATATTTATTAAGACTTCTTTTACTCATAATCAATATAGTGAATACTATCTACCATATAAATGCTGAATGGTTTTTTTAACACTCTGTGTATATGTATATATATATATATAAATATGTATACATACAAAGAATAGATTCTTGATTACCATGGTCCTCTGTTACTAGTTTTCCACGCTCCACCATGCTTTTTACCAGTGTTATGTTGCTTAATTCTACGTTCTGGATTTACAGTGTAACCTATGTAAGTTCTTCCCTTGTATTTTCGATTCATACAATATAATAAATATACTCCAAAAAAATGTTCTATCACTTCAGGCTCTGTTTCCATCATTGAGCATTTTTATGTGTAGAATCATATCACAATATGTAAAATTGACCATATTCAGAAGTAGAATTATTTTTGCCCAATTAATTTTTCACTTTTAAATCTGCCACATCACATTGGTACCCTATTGAAAAATATCATATTTAGAACAATCCAATTATGTGATTTTTACTTACATATTTTAATTACATGATTTTGTTATGTAATTAATTGTTATATGTAACTGATTTTTTACTATAATTGGATAAATTTTTGTTTAGCTACCCATCCTCTTAAAAATCAAAGAACTTGTGCTTTTAGTCGTAGTGTTTTTGTCCGAAACAAACGAATCTGGTAAAAAAGCGTCGTTCTGTCCCAGCAACCTCGATGTTAAGTATAAAGTTGATGATTATTAGGTTAGGAAATGTGTCACAACGATGCCATAGAACTATAAAAAAAAATTATATGAAAAATAATTTGTTTAAAACAGAACATTTATTTTTGAAATCGAGAATTTGTGTAATATTGAAGCAGAAAATCTTATTCTTGTCTCACTTACATGACCTCCCTCTATACTACACACCGATGTAACACACAATTAACACAAATAATAAAAAGCTACTAGGGATAGGCGATTTCTATCGATTAATCGAATACACTGATTTTTTTTTTTAATTTATCGATTATTTTCACGGATTATTTTTTCGTCCGACAGATTAATCGGAAATTAATTTTATCTCCTCATTGCTCCTCATATCCACACATACTTGCATAGCAGCATAAACATATGTATAAAGAAAATTATCCAATCGCATTTCTCTTATAAAGACGCACGTAAAATGTGATTGGATAATTTTCTTTATGCATATATTAATGCAGCACACGCTTTTGCATGACGCATAATGCATGACGCGTAAAAGAATCAACAAATCATAATCCTTCTTTTCCTCCCACTTCACGGAAGAGAAGCATTTTGATTGGTTGATTCTCTTGATGCGTCATGCAATAGTGTATGCTGCGGCCTTTATCTGCGTAGTCCTTTACAGAAAAAGGTCGGGATTTCGCGAGATGGCCGCTCTCAGATTTCTCTTTGCTCTGAGTCCTAGTTTCTCTCTGTCTCTAGTAAAAGATATTTATGCGATATAAGCTGTATAAAATCTTCCGTTAGTGATTGGCTAAATAAATAAACGGCTTGTAGCATATACTTGGCATTGGTGGACATTATAGTAAATATCGTGGTGGAAGCTCTATTGAAAAATTGTTCATACGAAGGGGTTTCTAATCAATTTGCAATTTGTTTCTCTGGAATCGATAACGCATAGGAAGAAGCAGGAAGCTACTGTTGTCAATTTATATTTTCCAAAAAAATATGCCATAGTTCTTTATCATTCTTTATAGATATCTTCACGAGAACTCTGCAAGGCTAATAACATGAGCAAGGTACAGATATATCAATCCTGGGTTGTTATTGTCTCAGTCATTGTATAATGTTTCGAAAAGAATTAAACATCATTTTATTATGAACGGAATTGTTAATTATTTAAATGTTATTTCGGAAAGAGTTAATTTAAAGAAATATGAGATTTATATAAATTGTTTTCTTTAATTAAACATATAAAGTTGTGAGAAAAATATTTGATGAATTTATTATCTTATTTATATATTGATACTTTTGTAAGAGAAAGAATTTGTTTACTGCTTATATAGATATATATATATGTTTTTATATGTTATTAGATCTCGCGTTATCCTTCGGATGGCAAGGTTTATGTAGGAGATTTAGGGAGCAGTGCTAGTAAACAACAATTGGAGGATGCATTTTCCTACTATGGATCATTGCGTAATGTCTGGGTTGCTAGAAATCCTCCAGGATTTGCTTTTGTCGAATTTGAAGATCCTAGAGATGCAGAAGATGCTGTGAGAGGACTGGATGGTCGTATTCTATGTGGAAGACGTGTTCGCGTGGAATTGTCAAATGGAAAGAAATTAAGAGACAGGAGCTTTTCTAGAAGAGGTGTTGGAAGACCTTTTCATCCAGAAGATAAATGTTATGAATGTGGTGAAAAGGGCCATTATGCAAGAGATTGTCATCGTCATAGAAGTTCTCGTAGAAGAAGGTGAGTTTTAAAAATTTTTCCTTTTTTTTTTTAATGGGCTTAATAATTATTTTGATATGTAAGAACTGTATAAAACATGAATGGATCAAGTTTATGTACATATATATATAATATATATATATATGTATACATACATATAAGTCATTCCATTCCAAGATGCAAATGGCTTTGACCATAAATGGATTGATCCTTTTTATGACTTATGAGGACTTAAATTTTAACTTTTTGTTAGTAGAATTCAATGTTACATGGTAATTTTTGATATTTTCATTATTATGAAATCTTCATTGGGCTATCGTTAAAGAACTTTTAGAGTAAACTTGCAATTACTGAAGCATAAGAGACTAAAATTTTTCTGTTTCCATATATTAAGGTTTTTGAGAGCTTTAAGTATGAATCTGCAGTCATAATTGTGAAATTCACAACGACAGATCCAATATAACAGTCAAATGTAATCAATTTCTAAATTATGATTTTTTAAAATAAGACTCAGTAAAACAGGAGTTTTTTGTGTTAATCATGAACTTTTTAATTATTAAAGCGGATTTTGAGATATGAAATTTCACTTTACTCAAAATTCAAGATTGATCTAATATGGTGGATGAAATATAGAAATTATGTTTTATAAATTTAGGTATTGCAAATTTCATTTCAATAACTATAAATTCATGATTATCAACCTAAAATACCTCTGTATACTGAGTCTTGTTAAAAAAATTAGAATTTAGAAATTGGCTAAATTTAGCTGCCATATTGGATTTGCCATTATGAATTTCACAATTATGACTGCAGAGATTTATATTTAATGACTCCAAAAACCTTAATTTGTGGAAATAGAAGAAAATTTTATGTTTCTTTGGTAATTATGCAAGCTTGTTCCCAAAATTCTTTAATGATAGCCCATTAAGGACCCTACCATGATCACCATAATAAAAATATCAAAAATCAATGTGACATTCAATTCTGAACTAAATTTAAGTCTTCATAAATTATAAAAAGGATTAAACCATTTATGCATATATACGCGTGTGTGCGTTACGTTTAAGAAACTATATATTAAATTATATATTGTATATGCAAGTTCCTCTCTTTCTGCATATATTATGGAGAATTAACTTGCAAGATAGAAAAGGGTTGTAGCATGTTACAAATAAATACAGATTTATATTTCTTGTTTTATATAAACCTCAAGATGATGGTTTGTATTTACCAATGCAAAGATTCTTTTTTGTGTCAGCCATCTTTGGATTTAGGCCTTTAATTAGACGTTCTATTTATATATAATAATTGGGAAACAAATATTTATAATAATATATACATGATTTCCATTGAGTTGTGTGAAATTTGCTTGATTAAATTGAAAGATTGTATATGGATTCTATTATTTTATTTAATGGAGATTATAAATTACTTAGACATAACTGGTAATATATATAATAAAAAAAAAAAAAGATATTTCTACAAACATAAAGAAACTAAACTTGTAAAGCGGCCAACGTAATATTGCCCGTTATTTATAGGAGTTGCGGCTGAGCATACAGCACACACATGTGAAATGTGTGTTGCTACTCGACATTGTCGCGCGAGATTCGCCTTGGGTTCACGTTTGTGACACACACTGCGCGTCGTAGTTACAGCGTAGAGCACTCCACATCTACTTTGGGTTTCCCTCTGCACACTCTGCGGGCGAGAAAACGCGGCAAACATGGGCCGTAACCGACCGGACACGGGGTGGCTAGTTCTACGCACTGCTACGATACTGATCCGCTGACCACTGACCATCACCCTAAATCGAGAGTTTATGCACGTCTGGCACTCCTGGTGTTCTTCGTTCAGCTATCCATGATTTCTGCCTAGTCGTCGTTTTCGTCGTAGTCATCGTTGTCGTCGTCGTCATCGTCGTCTTCATCGTCCTAATCATCGTCATCGTCGTTGTCGTTGTCGTCATCGTCGTAATACTTAACGATTGCTGAGAGACCAAATTTTCAGCAGTCTCGTCTCTAGCCACTCTTCATCCGTTCATCTCGGACCCTCTCGTAATTTTATCTGCATAAAGGGCTCATCCGCTCTCCCTTCTCGGTACAGCTATCGCGCATGCAATCCACAATTGTCTGCTATAAGCACAGCCAGGAAAGATGGTATATAAGTAGAATAGTCAAAAGTATAGTATATCTTACGAGGATTAATATACATGGCGGAGTGAATTTTGAATACAAATGAATTCACTTCATGTTATTATGTATAAGCAAATTTGCATGACTTGTGAAGATAGTTGCATTTATTTATGGAAATAGTTGAACAGTCTTGTTAAATAAAAATTAAATATACTTTTATTATGAATATGTAAAGTTTAAAGATTTATAGTTTATAAATCAGAGTTTAGTTAACTAATTATACCGTTTAGAGAGAGAACTCAATATATATCTAAATATTACACTTTCAATATTTATAAAGATGATGCTTGTCATCTAATAGATAATTAGAGTAATTATATGTAAATTAAAAGGTTTATTAGGATCAGGTTTCTTCATTATTTTTCGCTGTTAAAGGGAGAGATATGTACTATATAAAAATCCATAAAAAAAAATCAAATCTTTACTTTTAAAAATTGTATTATATTTCATATTAATGTTCTGTAGTAATGGATAGGCAAAATATATGCATAGCTATTTTTTTTAACACTTATTTATTATGATTTTTACTTTAGGTGGTCTCGTTCGCGATCAAAGTCCAAATCACGATCGCGATCACGGTCGCGATCGCGTTCTCGTTCCCGCTCAAGATCTCGCAGTAATCGTTCGCGTTCGCGCTCATCACGGCGCAGCCCATCTCGGAGCAAGAGCGTTTGTGCCAAGGATAAATATCGCAAGAAGCGGAAGTCTGTTTCCAAAGATCGAAGCAGGTCGAAATCTCGATCAGGTTCCAGATCACGAAGCAGATAAATGGTAAATACATGGTAAATATCACTTATATTGTCATGATTGAATGTGAACGTAATACATTGTGAGTTTCTGTTTCAGTGGATATGGATTTAATTTGACGTTTACCGAATTTCTTTGATTTAATTAGAGAACTACGATTCCTTCAATAGTTCAAGCAATTGCAGATTAATCTATTATTTAGCACATTGTATCAGCTCACGTGTTTTTGTAACATGAGAATACCATAACTTCATATAAATTAACGATTATTATTCTATATCTATATAAAAGAAAATACTGTTACAGGAACGTATAGTGTTATTTTATCGGCTACGGTTTTTTCAAGTCCGTCATATTCATTGCTCCTATTTAAGTTACTGTAAAACAGTGTTCAATAAAACTTTTTAGATGCATTCGATGCATTTTTGGATTGTACCGTACATTCAATCATTATTTATCTTGCCGAAATCCCAAGTTCCCACATCGAAGCGCGCGTGCAATATATATGCAGCGTAAAAGTTCCTTTTCTTCTTTCCGTTCATAAACATCTGCGTGTCCTGATATCTTTCATGCGTCGTCGCCGAGTTTTCCTCTCTCTCTCTTGAAATTTTTTTGCATTATCGGTACTCAACGGCAATAAAGCAGCGAGTTAATAGGCGTAGCAAATGGTGTGATCAGATATTCGCATACATTTTCAAGTTGTGCAGGCAAACTGTACATACTAACAAATAACTGGTAAAGTAAGACTGAAATTATTCAATTGTTTGATGGTTCTCGAAATATTACATATCTTTTTATTTCTAGGTTGAATAAAATTTGTTTTGTTGAATGCTGTTAACTTTGTCACTCGTGAAAAGAGAAAAAGTGTGCATAGTATTATTTGAACTATTTAAAATACATGGTGTGAATACCGCTTAAAATTAAAACGAGAAAGAGAAGAGTGTAACAAAGTGAATGAATTTATTACGTAAGCATTTTCATCGTAATTACTTCATAATTATTATTAGGCAATTATAGAATATAATAAAAAAATTGTACTACTTTGATTAATATACAATAATATACATCTGGTGCTTTTCTAATTTAAAAAAAAATGTAATTTTTATGGTTACAAGAGTACAAATAAATTCGATAATCGTTCATCATCACAATTGGTCTAAATTTCAATGGTTCGGCACCCATGGCTTCAGGCTCGTCTGAGGAAGATTATAAGGAGTACGCAGACTAGTGAAGTGGGGTAGACAACCATAGGCAACGAATGAAGATGCACTACACACGAGACACAGAATGGCAGTATGGAGAAGTGGAGGGAGCTGAAGATGAAAAGGAGAGAAAGAAAAAGAGAAGAGCCGGTGTAGGCAGCCGGTAAAGGCACGTTTTTAGTAAAGCATCGTAAAACGCCGATGATTCTTGCTTGCTTTGGGTTCTGTTCGATCGTTCCGTACATCAAGTTTCGTTGACCTCCCGTTGCGCTTTTTGTTATAGCCGCAGGTTTTATTGTATAATATCGCGGGCGTAATTTGATTAAGTGACGAAAACAAAATTTCTCGCAGTACACAGACACGCGTATCGTTTCGCGTCGTAAGCGTTGAGTCAATTGAACAAATAATCAGGGCCAATTAAGCGTGCGGGCGCAATGACTTCCGCGTACGAAACGACGACAGAACGTGAAGAGCAGAAGGCAACAAGTCCGCACGATACTGTGAGAGTACTTTACAGTCCGGACGTTGTCTCTGACATGGAGGAGACGTCGTCTCGGGCGAATCTCGCAACAGGTGACTCGTATTTCGAGGAATCCACGCTTCTTTCTTCTGTAGAAGTCAGCGTTTCGCCCGATGAATCATTTGGCGGGGATCCGAAAATGTTCGAGAAAGAAAAGGAAAGTAAGGATGAAAAAAGCGTCGGCGTTTCTGTAAATCTTGTAGATGATATTTTACAAATGAATAGATTCAAAAATAGGGAATTGTCTTTTGAAGATAATGAGAGGCATGAGGAAGAGAAATCGGTTTTATTGGCGGATAACATTTCATCGGAAAGCGCATCCATGTGCAGTGCAAAAAGGGAACAGGTTAAGGATCTTGGCAAAGACCAGAAGAATCGAAGCACGCTGGAGATCCAAGTGCTGCAGGAACAGTGTGACAGTGGTATTCACTCCGGGGAGAAATTTCGAGATTCCGCAGTGGAGGACGTGCGAGTTTGTTGCGAGAATGTGGCGGAAATTCGCCTGAGGACGGATAAGAAACCAGATGATTTTGAAAGGGAAATTATCAGCCAGCAAGACAGTGGCTCGTTTTATGATGCAGTACGATCGGGAAATACTGAGCGTGTCTCGATGTTGATCGCCAGCGGTTGCGTGCAAAATCTGGACGAACCGGATTGGAACGTGTCGGGCGATCCACCCCTATTGATGGCAGCAACGAATCACTGCCTTTCTGTGCTGAGGTAGATCTTTTATTTATATAAAAAAAAAGAATAGAATCGTAGAACGCAATCGTTTAGATGAGATCGCATTGCTTTGTATATATAACTTTCTCCTTCCTGCAAGTTATATCTATTTATTAGAACTTTCTGGCAATAAGTTATTCACGAGTTATCGTTAATATTGACAATATTTAATTTTTTAAATAAATTCATTGATCTTTACGGCATTGTTACTCATTATATATATTAGAAATTTATATCAAAACACGATTTTTAAGAATAATTGTACATATTTCTTTAGATTTATCGATAAATTTTTAAATATTTTTGTAAAAAAAAAATCATACAAAGCGTAATATCGAACATTCTTTGTATATAGCTGTGAAAATTTTCTTGGATAAATTGCAATTTATATTTAAATTACCTCATGACGTAAAAGTTAAATTTAAATAATACTTTTTTTTTAAAGTTTATACGTTTAAACATTGAAAATGACCTAAGCGAGGTCGAAACGTCTGTTGTTTATAATTGTCACATTTTATGTTTTGTTTAACTTTTGTTTGCGTTTTTATTATTAAAATTATTGTTTACAATTATTTAATTCTATGTAACTTTCGTTTTCTTGTTTGTGATACAATGTTTTCGAATTTATTAAATATTTTATTACTTCATATCTGGCTCGTAGCCCTTCTACACGTATTATTTAAATTATTGAGCCATACTACTTATATTAATTTTAAATTTAAATGATATTTGCGGCATAGTTATTTTTATTTTCGTGATACATATCTATATCGTATTCATAATATTGTAATGTACATATGTATTATATATTCGTAATATTGGTAAATATTATCCTTAAAAATTTATAACATTTATTTTTACTATATGATAAGATAATATGCGTGCAAACTTTTTACATCTTTTTATTGGCGGATTACAGCACGCTACTAGCAAACGGGTGCGATCCAGCTGTGCGTTCACCGCGGGGTGAGACGGCACTTCACAGAGTAATTCTGAACGGTGGACCGGGTAATGTGTTGAAATTCGTGGAGGATCTCTTGAAATACGACTGTCCGTCAGGCGTCAAAGAGGCTGGCAATGGATCGACTGCGTTGCACATGTTGACTCGTCAACTGGCTCACACATCGCTAAAATCCCTTCGTCATAATTTCGATGCGGCTGTGAAGACGCTAGAATTATTGACGCAAGCTGGACCCGTTAATGCTAAGGATCATCAAGGTCGAAGTGCCTTGCACATATTAGCATCGTCAACTATCTTTGGTATACGGCCATGATGTTTGTTATTTATTTGTTTTTTGGGAGGAAAATCTTTTAATTTAAAAAAAAAAACCTTTAACTCTCTCTTCCATTTACTTACAATTAAAAGTTAGGTGTTTGATATTTTTAATGAAAAATTTTTTAAGATTATACCATTTTATATTCAACAATTGCATCTTTTCAATCCTGTGTACTTTTACACAATTTGTTTCGAAACAAAAGATATTTTTCCGTACAAGCAATGACAAGACGCGTGACTTTTTGGAATAACAAGTTGATTATTCTCGCACTCCAAAACGAAAACAGCTTTAATGGCACGTTATCTTACAGATAACAATCACAAGACCGACATCGAGTCGTTGATTGGTACGCTTCTGGCCAGCGGTGCGGATACTGCACTGAAGAATGATCGCGGAGAGACCGCTTTACACGAGAGTTTGGAATGCGGTACATTAAACACGGCGACATTGTTGATACAACACACGCCGACAGGCATCACGTCACGATATGGTGAAACCCCGTTACATATAGCATCGCGAAAGAACCATGTTGATATGGTGACGAAGCTACTTGTGCACGGCGAAGATCCTGGCACGCAGGACGCCAGCGGGAACACTCCGTTGCACCTTGCATCAGCGAGAGGATTTCATCAGACGGTGTCACTGTTAGTCACCTCGCCCTTAGCTCAATTGGAGAAGGTTAACATTGACGGTCTGACGGCGTTACAAGTCGCCACTGAGAGTGGATTCGCTAACGCTGTCAAGATACTGTTGAAGGCTGGTGCTGATCCTAGCCAAACCATGCATTATTGCGCGACCATTCTGCGCCGTCATCCCGACATCTCGCTCTTAATCGATCACGAATTGACCAGACGTCGACAACTTGCCGCCTGATTCGTTTTCCCACTAACATCCGACAATTTGTTTAAGACAGCTAAATATTATTATAAACAGAATGCAATTATCAGACTTGTTGCTCAATATTGCAATACACGTTTAATACATGCAGAAATTATGTAATATGTTCAATCATAATATACATTTGTTGCCACAAATCCCGCTGCGTATTAAAGTGCACTTAAAAGATTGCAACATATTATCTACATATATTTTACAAATAAACATTAATACTGTTATCGTGATTATCGTTTTAGTTAGGTTTACTTGTTATCGTCATGATTATTTGAACGGGAGTTAATAAATAAAATAATACGATTTTTATAACATAGTGTATATTTTATAAATCTATCTATATAATATGTCTATATAACATAATATTGATATGAAGCGAAAATGAGTAAAACAAGAGCATGTATATACAGCTCTAAGTATAATATAAATAGATTTTTAAATATTTTCTTCAAAGTATATATCACATGATATCTGAAAGGCTGTGTTAGAATTATGAAATAGATATTATATAATGATCGTATAATCGTATAATGCACATAATGTAATTCATTATACTTTTTGTTAATTTAAACATCAAGACACTGTATAAAAATAAATGTCTTCCCTATTTTTTATAGATTTCTTTTATTACACGCACTGGAATAAAATAAAAACAAACGTACAAATTATAAATTCTTTTCGATAATTTAAATTTTTCCGATCATTATGAATCTTTTACAAAACCTGTCTCACAGCCATGAAATTTTATCAGATGTAATTGATGTACATTTTGTTTTAGACTACAGCAGTTGTATATGTAAAATAATTTATGAAAACATTCGCCAACATGAATCGGGGCCGATCGCATAAAATGTTGATTGCATTTTAACAATAACATTAAAGAGATTACGTTAAATGCATTTCAAATAACAAATAGTTATATTCATTATGGATTTGTACAATTTATTGTTTAAAAGAAATGAAGAAATGATAGGCATATATAGCATCACTGTTGCACAAAGTGAGACATGTTTTCAACTTTTAATGGCCTACTGATAAGAAGCTTTTAATGCTGATTCTACAATGAGTCGATAGTCAGTAGTCCTAAGTCTTATCGATAAAGTTGACCAATAGCCAACTTGTACGACTAACGCTGATTGACCAACTTCACCGAATTAAGATTAAGATTTCCGACTCATTGTAGAATCAGTTTTATAATATTATTTGTAGTTAAGATACACACATGTGGTATGGCATATACAATACATATGTCTATACATATATCCAAACATACATATACACACGTATCAATTAAAATTTAATTCGATGTATGTATTTATAATACAGGCTGCTATATTGTATACTGAAGATTGACAAGATGACACTATCGCTGTGTTGTATTCATTTAAAGAACTTGTATATAGCACAAAAAAGTCTAAACTATACCTTTAAGCTCTGAACGAACATCATTATAAAACAGATTTTAAGCGTCTTTTGGTCTATACATTCTACTTGTATTCATAAAACGGACAGTATGTTCTGCAGATATAATCGATTACACACGTTCATTTCGTTCATTACGACAGTCTTTAATTTCACTTTCTAAATTTAAAAAAACTTTAATCTTATTAAATTATCTCCCTCCCCTTAATTATAATAAAATAATTCTGGCACAAGAAAAAGTTATAGATTACATCATCAAAACCGTGTGTGGATTCAGAGATATTATAACAAAAAGCTTGATTATACATTTTGCCCCTAATCTTATTAAAATATTTCTAACCGTTAATCTTAAAAATATATTCTTTGGATAAAAAAAGTATATTCTTAAACATAAGCATACACGCATTCACAATATTTAATTTAACGTATTAAACGCTGATATAATTTTGTTAGAAGTGTAGGCCAACGATAATATTGCAATACACATATTTATAAAACATATAAGTTAAAGATACGCGAGCGCGAATAAAATTAATATATTTAACAATTTAAAAACCAAGATTTCTTTTAGCAAAACTTTCGCGCATTCGGTTTCGGGAGTATGATACATAGGCTATAAAAATTTTTATCTGCCAAGCATTGTACATTATTCATTGTGTATTTTTTATAGGTTTTTCAATTGTAAAACGGGAAGATGTTGTATAGAATCTTTCATATATTATGCATACATAACACTATGCAATATATCAGAGCTGAGCATTATATTATATAATTTTTGTTCATTTCGTTATATAAACAATAATTTACTTGATCGTTTAAATGATCTTTTTATCTAGACAAGGTTACATAAATTCTTTTTTTATACGAATAATGATTATTTCTATAATTAATATATGAGAGTATTATATTTATTAAAAATAAACTGAAAATAGTCCTTTTTTTTACTTTTTCTCTCGTTCTAGTAAAAAAGAGATTTTTCCCCATTTTTCTAACATTTACTAATAAAGGCTTGTAGGCCTGAATTCTTTTCGCTATTTAAACAATGAAAAATGAAATAAATATATATTACTTCAATAGATAATACATATCAGAGATTCGAAGAATAAACAAATTTTTCACGCTATAAAAGATTACTGGTAACAATGCTTTAAAATTTATCTTTTTTCATATAAAATTGTTAAATATTACTCAGGAAAAGAGAAAGAGAGAGAGAGAGAAAGAGAGAGAGAGAAGTGTTTCATATTAACTTATTCACTACCAATTTCCAACATTTCTCTTTGTGATTATTGTAAACTCTCTCGGTATGATTGTGATGAACAATATTTCTTTAGACTGCAGAAGATATTCTATTCACAAAATTTATCATAGAAAAATAATATATGTAGATTATTACCTGAAATAGCTTGTTTATTATTTGCAGACGCATTGCATTAAAAGATATTTAAAACTATGAAAGAAGTATTTTCTTTATATGTTTATGAATTATTCAGAGATCTACTAAATATTATATTATCAATTAATTCAATTTTTTCAAAAGTGTTCATGCGTATTTCTTGAAAATATTAATATGGAAAATTTTTATAATAAAAAATGATGTTAATAAAATATTTCTATATCAGAAGAATAAATTGTATTGTTAATGTAAATTTTATATGATTTGTCAATTTTATTGAGAAGGATCCTAATATAGGTTAAAACATGTAGTGATTCAATCAATTTTGATGACAAATTATGTAATATTTAATTGTATTGTACAGGAACATCTTGTTGCTTGACTCTTAAAGCTTTTTTTTGTTTAATTTTATGATTTATTTTGTGAGTCTATTTATTATTAAATTATTTAATAAAATAAATAACATATTCAGACTAAAATGCCATCAAATTATAAAGGATGTTTGAGAAGTAATAAAAAATTTATATTTATTTATAGGGGTAGAATGGACTCAACTGAGAAGAAAAGACTAAACGGAGAACACGCGTTTTAATTTTAATTATTTGGTATATTCTTTTCTTTTTATAATCAATCATTTGTAACATAAGGGCTGCAACTCCAAAATATAGCATCCAATTAATTTTGCTAAGTATTTATATATGGCAGTGAATATGTTAATATTATAGATAATGAATATTTTCTATTTCTTTTTTTAATATATGTTTTTAACCTAAGTATCACTTTAAAATCTTCAAATATATATACTGTATTTATTCTATACTTCAATATTAATCTGTTATTAAAATTTCCATTTTTAAATATCGAATTATACTTCTTTTCTAATGTCAAGGATTATTTTCTGTTTTCTTTTCGATGGAAGCGCTTTCCTATCAAATAATTTTCAAATAATCAAAAAGTAACGTAATAAACAATTACGTTGTCAGAAATCATGCCAACAGCCATTTTTTTATGCAAATAGGAAATAGCAAAAAGGAAACAGGCATATATTTACATATAAAAATAATTATATAATAATAAGTCTGCGTAACATTTGGCATTCAGTAAACGAGAATGGATTGAAATGGATAGCGAATTTGCGCTTCTGATTTTTAGAATCTATTTGAATCTAAAAATAATATAATTTGAACATGATATGGATATAATGCATCTGAATTAAATACGACGATGGCTTATTTCGTATCTTAATCATTTAAGACCAAAAATACTTATGTCGTAAATGAATTAGCCATGAATATATAAGCAGAGAATAAATTTGACACTAACTCTCTGACAAATCAAAGACTAGTTTTTGATTAAATTAATATAACTGATTTGTTTACGTCGTTTATGATATAGTAGAATTTTGTGGTAGTGAGCTTTCTTCTTCTCTTCTTTTCATTGATATAAATTCTTTCAATTGATTTTCTACAATTTATTCTTTTAACTTTTGTCTTATTTTCGATTACTATCAGTATTATAATTTTTCACACAATATCGAGGTTCTTTTAATTATGTAGAAGTGGCTCGCTATGACAAATTAGTTACTATGCATATATTGTAAATACAGTTTTATGTAAATGTCTCTGAAGAGGGCTAAAAAATGAGCCGAAATATACAAGATCGTCATTTAATAAAGAATATTGTGTTAAATTTATATATCGATTTGCGCAATAAGTATCACGCCTAACTGCTATTGCCCTTTTTTACTCAATTTCTTTTTTAAAATGAATTGTGTAATTTTCAACTCATTTTTATCCATTCTCGTTTACTGGATATTTCGGTTATCTTATAATTAATAATGTCTTGTCCTTATCTTAAACAATCCCTTAAGCTAGTATTACAATTCATCTGTTTATTATCATACAACAAGCTTTCCAAGCCTATTGTTTAGTTATAAGACAAAGAAATTCTCGGATCTCTTTATCCTGCAGCCAATTAACATGCTTGAAAAATGTATGATAAATGTAATATTAGCAAAACTTGTTATTTATGTGACTTCACAATCTATATGAAATCACGAATAGCAAGTTAAATCGAATTTTTGCTAACAAAAACTGAAATTTAAGTTACATAGAAAAATTTACCTAATTATTTAACGTTCAATTATTTTACGTTTTTCTTAGATTACTAATAATATAAATGTATGATATATTTGATATAAATCCAATTTTTTGATAATGATTATAAACATATAACTTAACAACATGTACGAACTTATCCGTAAAAAATTTATAATTACTTACATCTTGGATGTATTGTAATTTAATTACAGAATTAAGAATTATTGTAAGGAAGTTATCTTCGATTTGAATTAATATGTTATATAAAAAATATATCGATAAAATTTAGTAAATAAATAATATGTATATACGCACACACTCTTTCTCATACATAAAACAAATAGAAATATATATATGTATATATATAATCTTTGGAATTTAATAAATTCCTACACACATCAGCTGTTTTAACAATGACTTTAATATTACTAGTATTATTAATATTAATTATTAATCAATATTAATCATGTCACACATATATCAAATCTAATAAATATGCCATCTACAATCTTAAATGATTAATATCACTTTTAAGTGATTAATATCAGCGATTACATCATACTTTTACACATACTATACTTTATATGTGTGATATTGTTGAGTGACATTAATTTCTATGATATATACAGAGTGTTTGAGAAGTAATGAAAAATTTTGTCACATAGGGGTAGAATGGACTAAAGAAAAAAAAACCTGAGAAAGTCCTCTACCATTTTACAATTTTTGGAATAATTGACTAGATATTAATTTATAAAAATATAAACATTATAAATGGACATTGTCTAGCGACGACCATTACCTCTTGTTATAAACAACGCGTGCCTAGCGACGACAAACGAGCACGGCGCGCTTTGCTGGGCGGTCGTTTCAGTCGCGCGTTTGCATTTGGTGGTAAGCCGGGCGAATTTGGATATTTTTATAAATTAATATCTAGTGAACTATTTATTGGCGAAAATTGTAAAATGGTACAGGACTTTTCTTCTCAATTTAGTCCATTCTACCCCTATGCGACAAAATTTTTCATTACTTCTCAAACATCCTGTATAAATATATATATATTTACAGAAAAAGATGCGGGCACTTCAGCTTCCAATTTCTCCATGTTACTTTGTAAAATGCTAAATGTAAAAAATCTGTCTGCATGGAGTACTAAAAACTCACTCACTCACTCACTCACTCACTCACTCACTCACTCACTCACTCACTCACTCACTCATTCATTCATTCATTCATTCACTCACTCACTCACGCGCGCGTTTCTCATATAAAAACATTTTTTCTATTTTGACTTGGAAAAAAGACTATGAATACTGTTACTCTGATAAAATGCACTGAAAATTTGTACAAATTCATATACTGAAATATCTTATGGCAACAACTACTATGTAGTTTCCAATATGTACTAAGAAACCTTGGATGTTAACATGTAATCAAATGACTTGAATAAATTGCAGAAGCTTATAACAAAACTGAATCAATCTTTCTAAACTTTTTTGTCCTTTTTTTACAGTGAAGAACAATCGTTATACGACAGTCGTTATACGAACGTCGTTTTATATATATATATATATATGATATAATCTATATAAAATATGCTATTTGCTTATTTATTCAGTTACTGAATTATGTCTGCATGGAATTGCTAGGTCGTTTATCGTAGAATTATGACGGGTTTTTCTGCAGCCTTCATTGTCATTTACGAGATTGGGATTAACAGAATGCGAGAGAGCAGCTGTTTTGTTGAAGTCTATCGTGGCATAGCCTTTTTGTGGCTTGTTTGGAGATTCAGGAGGAGAAGGAGCAATATTTATCACAATGTCGGATGTGCCAGTAGGTGTGTCTTTTTTATCCAGATCTAAAACTGCATAATTTACTTCCCTGATTGGACATCCTGTTGGTGTAGAAGGTGCCAAGGGCGATCTCTCAGCTACTGAAGTGCCAGAGAATCTCTTCCTAAGACTCTCGATTTCGCTCGCCTCTAAATTAGCATAGCAATGCCTGGAGCTTTCTTCCACGTCCGATTGTAAGACGGGCAATGGTAGCGGCCGCACTCTAATAGCAATGTTCTCTGTGAGATCTTGTTCGGGACCTATATTCATATATGAGTGTTCAAATCCATCGATATCGTTACTTTCTTCTTTAGGCTGATTTGTTTCACAAGTACTGTGCGTTGGCGAAATTGGATTGGATTCGCCACAGATGTCTATGTTCATATAAGGTGTCATAATCGGTAATAGTGACGTTGCATCATAACTGGATATTTCTGTGTTACACGGAATGGGTATTAATTCCGTTTCCACAGGTCCATTGACGGATATTGCATTATTGATCATAGAAACGTTTTGTGGTGATCTGTAATACCAAGAAAATCATGTAATATCTTATGTATTTTACACCAATGATTAAACAAATCAATGCTACCTTTGTACTGTTCTTGCAAGGCTTTTATTATTGTTGCGCTCCATTTCAATGGGAAGAGACGATAAGACTTCCTCATTGACATAAAGAGAGGACGGATGAGGTTGAGAAATTGGTGGTGGTGGTGGCAGCATAGAAGGTGGTGATGACGAGCCCAATGTTCCTTGGGGCGATATTGGGCCACTACTGCTTCCAACACTGTTTAATCTTCTAATACCATTCTGTTGGCTATTCAGAAATCTAGAATTTATATGATTGTGATTTCTAAATGATATTGGATCCAAATAATTAGGCTCCACATTTTGTACTGCAACACTTGCTACTGACGCAGAATGCGACGGAATTGGAAGGTCTCTGGACTCTGTATCATCTCCACTGTTATTGCGTACCTGTGTTAATAAGAAAGTATTTTCTTCAAATATTGTCATTATCTATAGTTCAATATCAATATTAGGAATAGTACATATTGATATTAACCTGAATTTTTGTCTGTACAAGATTAAACAATTCTTGAGCTCTCCGACATTTAAAGGCATATATACCAGGACCTGTGGAGCAGCGTCTGCCTGACTCAAAACTAAAAAGTCCTTCTAAATCATATCCATACCGTCGCAAACAACGCAACGGCCATTTATGCTGTTTGCCACGTTGATACAATATAATGTCTACCTCTGTTACTTCCAAACGTCCAGGGGAAACGAAATTACCATCATCGTCTACATTCATCACTTGAAAAATGTTAGGATGCAGATCGTTGTCTGCTCTGCTATTGACGCAACCCATTCTTTATTTATCTAAACAAAAACATAATATACAATTTGAAAAGTTTACTTTTTATTAAATCAAAATTATAAATCAATCACCATTGTACATTTACACCAAGAAGCATATTATATGAAAAAAAAAAAGAAAGAGACACTCTTGCAATCCTTATTTTTATCTTATAGTAATCCTGATTATATTCAAAATACACATAGCAGGTAAATAAAGAGTATAATTACTCATGGCATAAAACATTAAGAATGGAAAACAATTTAATACGTTTTCTTAGCTATTGAGTTATGTATTAAAGATCAGATAAGCACCAAATACGACATAGCCAAAACAACACAAGATCCGTCTTTCGATCGTCGTTTATCCCGTTCCTAACAGCATGGTATATTTCTGCACATAGGCGCACGCGCAGCGTGGCTATGCCACTTCTTCATACTTCAATTCACTTGAGTCTGAGCGATAGGCCTAGTTTACATTGTGCACTTGATCTTCATTCGATCGAACTGTTGACGTTTTTTGTGAAGTAAGGGCCGCACACAAAAAAAAAACTTAAGGCAGTAATAAAGCCATATCCACACAAACTTGCATAACCACATAAACGTATGCATAATGAAAATTATCCAATCACATTTTACGTGCATCTCTATATGGGAAATGCGATTGGATAATTTTCTTTATGCATGCGTTTATGCAGCTATGCAAGTTTGTGTGGATATAGCAGTAAGGCCGGAATCAGACTACGCATTGAAAATTGAGATTGAAGATTTAAAATTGAAATTTGACCAATGAGGATAAAGAAATTTTAACTCCTATTACTTTGATTGGTCAAATTTCCATCTTTCAATCTTTATCAATCTTCAATGCGTAGCCTGATTCCGGCCTAAGCGAATTGACCAATCACAGTAGAGTCCGTAAGGTCATAACTTAAGCAGTAGGAAATCCACAACGTTGATTTGCTACTGCACGGCCTTATGGCCTTTACTGTGATTGGTCAATTCGCTTACTGCTAAGTCTTATGCCTAGTTCACACTAGGCGCGATGAGCGATGCGCGACGAGCGATAACCAATAAGAACTCTTCTTTACATCGTCGTGTGAGCTAAAGCAAAGCTTTTATTGGATATCGCTCGTCGTTCATCGCCCATCGCATCCAGTATGAACTAGGCATTACTGCTTTAAGTTTTTTGTGTGCCAAGGCTCTGACTCTGGATCTACAATAGAGATGTTTCAAGCCTTAAGCTGTAAGAAATTAACTAATTACAATCGAATTCGAGGAGAATAATTGATTATGATATGTCCATTTCATATGGCTTAAAACTCTATTGTAGATCCGGGGTTAAGCCCATGGTACAGTGACCTAGTTTACGCCCAGTCGTCCAATCCCGATTCACTTCGAAGTGAAGTGGATTTATGGAATGTTTACACCCGGATTCGCTCTACTCTGCTGAGAAAAGAGGATCGAAATCAGTCGAAACTAATCCGTTTACACCCAAGAAATTTCACTTCACTTCGAAGCGAATCGCGATTGGACGGCTGGGTGTAAACTAGGTCAGTGATTGGCAGCCCAATCGCTCCGTTCGAATCATGCGCCTCTCCTTCGAAATAATGATTTAGAAAAATTGAATCGGTACGATTCCGTGACAAATTGAATCGATTCCGAAAGAATCGAGAAATTAAAGTGTTAGAATAAACATAAGTGATTCTCATCCAGCTAATTCAAATTATTTACCCATTGCTAAGAATTTAGTTTTAAAAGAACTTAATTGACAACGGAGTTATTTATTATTTGAGCATCGTTGTTGCTCTAGATGTTTTTCTGTCTGTTTTCTGGTACCGTTTATTAAAATTAGAGCGTTCATGTAAGGCCTTACAGTTCAATTAAATTTATTAATTTAGCGTGAGCTTGAATTAAATAAGAAAGATTTTAAGGAATGCATTTTCTTTTTTGAAAGGAATTAAAAAAATAAATAATTTAGTACTTCTCTCTCTCTCTCTTCTCTTTTATAAAGGTAATTGTTATTGTTAACATTTCACTATATAATAATTGTACTGTTTGTTATTTGTTATAAAATTCTCGATTATATTTTTTCATTAAAGTCTATACCTATAAATAAAATATTTATATTACGTCTATATACATATATTTCTTTGAATATAATATGTAGAATAAAGAATTCAAGTCTCAATAACAGAATTCAAGTTTTAACATAAAGAATCGCTTGAGAATATAAGATTCTTCAAGAGCAAAATGAATCGATTCTCGATGCATATCGATACAAGAATCGGCATCACTAATTTTGAATCGGCCTACTAGGTTCTGCTAAGAACTGCAGGCATGATGGAAGACCCATATCAAATGCAAACACAACTTGCAGAAGCATTAAATTGTGCTCAATTTGTTGTTTCCGATTGTTTAAAAGCCTTAGGAAAGGTCTACAAGGAAGGAAAATGGGTCCCATGAACTTAAGCCAAGAGACATCGAAAGGCGAAGAACCACCTGCAAAATTCTGTTTGCCAGGCAACAAAGAAAGGGGTTTTTGAACCAGAATATCAGACAAAACGGCATAAAGTAATTTCGCTTCATGATAACGCTCGACCCTACGTTACTAAAGCTGTTAAAGAAACATTGGATTGGAAGAGCACTTCGCTGGGAAGAGTGCTACCCTATATGCGATTTATTCACCAGACTGTGCCCCGTCCGACTACCACTTGTTTCGGTCAATGGCACACGCACTTACTGAGAAACGCTTCAATTCTTATGAAAAATGGGTCTCCGACTGGGTAGCCTCCAAGGATGAATCATTCTTTCGTCGCGGAATTCGCTTTTGCTGCCCGAAAGATGGGAAAAAGTCATTGCTGTAACGATGGACAATATTTTGATTGATGTACTTTTTCATTTTGTTTCTTAAATAAAATCATATACGTTTTGCAAAAAGACGGATGGAACTTTTCGATTGACTTAATACAATAAAAATGATAATAATATTATATATTATTGTAATAATTATTATAGTGTCAATCAAAATATCAATAAATTACATTTGAAAGATTACATCAATATAAGCTCTATAATTATAAGTGTATAATATATATATATATATATATAATAAGTATATAGATTAATGCTCTATATTTATCGTGTCAACATAACTTTTATAGTATAGGATCGTGGAATTGGAAGTATCATTGACACGAGAGCTACATGTGTGTAATTTTTTAATGTATCTATAGACAAATATACGTATATATACTCTATTCTTCAACTCGTTGCTATTTCAGTAAAAATGAAGCTTTTATAGAATTACGAAACTTTATATAGCACTTTGTGTCTACTCACAATCAGTCGGGTGTATGCATACATATGTGTTTGAGAGCTAAAGAGAGAGACTGGAATAATGTTACAAATCGATTTCCCTACAATCACAATATTCCATCTTTCGGAAAGTATCGTTTTGCCTCTTCGTACGCGAGTTCTAGATTATATTTGCGTTTGCCTGCGATCAATATCTCTGAACATCGTTGTTATTACTATTATTACTACGGAAAATTACTATTTTGAGAATTAGATACTATATATATAAACACACGCGTGTGCGTGTATGTACGAGTGTGCATTTTTAACTATAAGATAGCGTTTTTTTTTGTTTTTTTTTTTAAATAAAATGAACTATGAACAATAGAAATTATCATACGACACATCTTTCGTTTCAGACGTATTAGATCAATCGGTACAAGAGATTTTATGCATACAATATATTTATAATAAATATAAATTTGTGTACTTTGTATAATGAGATACTCTGCTTACATTAAAATTAATTTTGCTTCAACAACAAAAATTCATCACTTTATTAATTTCATAAATGCAAAAGATAGGTTGTTTATAGATAATTCAGCGTGTAGCAATAGCGTAACATGACTATACATGCATTAAGTTTGCAAAGATTACACCAAGAGTTTTAGTACTATTTCCGCAATTATTTTTCAAGTTCTCCTTCTTCTGTATTATTATTTTTGCGCTAAAAACACGTGACAGATTTATTTTGGTTTCAATATGAGATTTCATTTTAATAGAAAGGCTTGTGGTAAATATTCCAAAAGATTTTTCTGTTCTAATAGATCGATTCGAGTATATGCGCTCCATTGAGACACACGTCTCGGGATATATGTGACTATACGCTTCTTTCTGTTTTGGCAACAAGCTCATCGATATATTTTCCTCAATGAAAAAAAAAGTCGTACTGTCGCACATAAAATATACTTTCCATATATATACACAATTTGATTTTATATTATTCGGCAGGATGACCGAGCCGTTATACGTAAAATCTTCAAGTTCTAAACAAATATGGTAATGATCGCATAAAATATTTTTCACGATTACAAGTGAATATCATAATTAATACGGCGAATTAAGTTCTAATTAAAAATCACATATTGCGCGCGGAAGATTTTGGGACCGCTGCGCGTACAAGGTGCGTTCCGAGTGAAGAAACGCGAAAGATATGTATTGGTCTGTACGCTCCGACATTTGGATGCCCTTTACCCTTTTCTGATTGTCGTATCGATGAGAAACTAATAATAATAAACCAATCTTTATTTAAAATCATTGGGATAGGCTGACGTCACCCACCGATAATTGTATCATCGTCATTGTCGGAACGCAGAGAGGGGTAATTATTATTAAAAGAAGAAAAAAGAATTAACGTTTCACGTCCGCGCGCGCTGATGACGTCGCGTCAGTACTCGCTCCTCGTTATCATCGTCGCAGACCCTGGCTTCGCGAATTCCTGGGCCAGGGGTGCGGGTGAGGGGTGACGAAAAGGTAACGACGCAGAGCGTCGGCTCGGAGCGGCGCGTCGAAACGCCGCCGCCGGAAAACGTAACGCGTTTTATCGATTTACGTCGACGGCCATATTCGCGTTCGCCAGCACCGGTCAGGCGCACTCCGCTCTCCGTCCCACTGTCGTCGTCGTCGCCGTCGTCGTCGTGATCGTCGTCGTCGTCGCCG